GGTTTTTTTTTTTCCTATTTTTCTGTTGAAATATTTAAAACATTTGGGCATGTTTATGTTTTGATCCCATACAGTAAGCCTAAAACCTGAGACTTTACTAAGTATCTTCCTCTTGAATTAGCATTTTAGACTTTACTTGCTCTCTTTTCTGCTCCTCTGTAGTTCCATTAAGCCACACTAGTAATTTCTAAAATTTATTTGTGTCTGTGTGTACATTGATATGCCACAGAGCTCTCGTAGAAGTCGAAGGATAATTTGAGATCAGTTCTTTTCTTCCACCATGTGGGTTCTGGGAATCAAACTCAGAACATCAGACTTGGGGCAAGTCCTTTGACCTGATGAACTGTTTGAAAGCCCAATCATTTTTTGAAAGGGAACTTTACTTTTTCTGAGTATTAGAAAATCCCTTTTGGCTAACAGTTCTTTCAGCAGATAGCTACTGGGCCATCTCCTCTTGTAGGTTGGAATTAGCAAATAATCAGAGTAAAGAGCCTGCTCTCCAGATATTAACCGTTTGAAAGGGAAGACAGTAAGACTGTAAATGTAAATGTTACGGGATGGTGAGTATGCTGAAGGAAAAATGAAGTTTTCTCTAAAAGAGTAAACAGATAGATCAAGGAAGACCACTGTGAAGAGGTGGCAGCTGAGCAAGGACCTGAGGGAAGCGAATGAGTCATGTTAGTACTAAGATTAGCAACTTTTCCATGTAGGGGCTTTAAACAACACTGGTGAGGAGGCCTCTTATGCAATATGGCACACCAGAGGCACAAAGAGCAAAGGGAAATACAGGCTTTGGACCAGGGGGATATGAACTGTGACTTGACCTCTGTGTACTGGTTTTGGACATTGCCTTACAAGAATTACGCAGTGGTTAATGTAGAAAGATGGGACCGAGAAAAGTCTTTGTAAGATACCTGGAAAGAAGGAAGCCAGACTTGGAAAGAAGAGGAGCTTATCACCAAGTACATACTTGGAGAGCTAGGTGTAGGGCTGGATACCTGGTTCCTGCATGTTTGGAGACAGACAGGGCAAGCAGTTCAAAGACAAATTGAGCTTGATGCCCCACTTTTTGCCTAGGGCTGGTTCTTCCAAAATGATCCCTCTATGCTGTATCTCAGGGTTTCTGTTTCCATCTCTATAAACTGGTGATCTGTAAAGATTTGTTCAGCAAAACACTCAGAACAGTGCCCAGTCACTTGTAAACACTCCAGGATTTTTGGAGAGTATTGGTAATAGGGAGGTGGCTACAGCCTATGCCCGTGTGCTTCGTTGAAGCTGCAAGAGCACACTAGTTTTGCAGTGACTATTTCATCAACAGATCTGTGATGGGCTCTTTTGCTTTCCTTATTTTCAAGGTTTCTGCCTGATTGTGATGGATGGTGTCCAAGAGCAAACACATGAGGGTTTTCTTTTGTTTGTTTTATGACTTTTTAGGCTTATTTATCAGTTTCGAGGTCAACGTCCCTTAAGACTTTAATGTCCACGGTCGTTGCAAAGTTTAGCAGGTTGCCAGACTCTCGGGATAGATTACGTATTAATAAAAATAGTCATTGCTCTTGGTGCACTTGCTTGGGGTTGTGAGCTATTTCTGTCATTGTGGAGATCTTGTTCCCTGTGGGCCTGTGCCAATTAGCACAGTAGACATAAGAAGTGTTCAGTTTGAATGAGCGAATCAAGAGAATAAAACTGAGAAGATACTAATTTTCTACCTGTATCATCTGTTTACATGCCACGAGGACCTTATAATTTAAGTATATTTCTTTCATAAAGGGAAACAAGTTCTGTGGAGGAAAAGTTGAAATTACTTTTAAATGAAAGGAGAGAAACATGATCTGTATTTCTAGATTATTTTCAATATAATATCTATTTTGAAAACTGTATTTTGAAAATGTTTTTGATGTTTCATACACATTCCTTTCAGGCATGTGACAGTGCAGGCTGATATATTTTTACAAGCTGAGCACTCAATCATGTTAATTTAAAAAAGGAAAACTATGGAGTTGGGAATCTAGCTCAGTTGGTAAAATAAATGCTTTCCTTTTTTATTGTTTTTATTGAGCTATACGTTTTTCTCCACTCCCCTTCTACCCTATCCTGTGACCCCTACACTTCCAATTCACTCAGGAGATCCTGTCTTTTTTCACCTTCCTATGTAGATCCATATATGTCTCTCTTTGTTATCTAGATTCTCTGGGGTTGTGGCCTGTAGGCTGTTTTTTCTTTACTCTATGTCTAAAAGCCACTTATGAGTGAGTACATACTATATTTGTCTTTCTGGGTTTAGGTTACCTCACTCAGTATGTTTTTTTTCTAGATTCATCCATTTGTCTGCAAATTTCAAGATGTCATTATTTTTTCCCACTGTGTAGTACTTCATTGTGTAATTATACCACATTTTCTTTATCCATTCTTCAGTTGAGGGGCATCCAGATTGTTTCCAGGTTCTGGTTATTACAAATAATGCTCCTATAAACATAGTTGAGCACGTGTCCTTGTGATACGATTGAGTGTCTTTTGGGTATTTGGCCAACAGCAATATTGCTGGGTCTTGAGGTAGATTGTTTCCTAATTTTCTGAGAAATTGCCATGCCGATTTCCAAAGCGGCTGTACAAGTTTTCACTACCACCAGCAATGGAGGAGTGTTCCCCTTACCCCACATCCTTTCCAACATAGGCTGTTGTAGTGAGGGGCTGCAGGCAGGCCTGCTTTTCGCCTCACCCGGCTCCCGCACGGCTAGCTTAGTCCCAGAAATAACAGCACACAAATTGTATTCATTTAAGCACTGCCTGGCCCATTGTCTCTAGAGAGTTAGTTACTGACTAACTCTCATATCTTGATATTAGCCCATTTCTAATAATCTGTGTAGCACCACGATGTGGTGGCTTACCGGAAAAGATTCAGCATGTCTGACCTGGTGGCTGGCTCCATGACTTCTGCCCCATTGCCCTCTTCCCAGCATTCTGTTCTGTTTACTCCGCCTACCTAATTTTCTGTCCTATCAAGGGGCCAAGGCAGTCTCTTTATTGGCCAATGAAAATAACATAATAGACAGATAACCCTCCTCCATTAGGCTGTTACCAGTGTTTTTGATCTTGGCCATTCTCACAGGTATAAGATGGAATCTCAGAGTTGTTTTGATTTGCATTTCTCTGATGGCTAAAGATATTGAGCATTTTCTTAAGTGTCTTTCAGCCATTTTAGATTCCTCTGTTGAGAGTTCTCTGTTTAGGTCTGTACTCAATTTTTTTTTTAATTGGATTATTCTTTTGATGTCAGATTTCTTGAGTTCTTTGTATATTTTGGACACTAGTCCTCTGTCCAATGTGGGGTTGGTGAAGATCTTTCCCCAATCTGTAGGCTGCCGTTTTGTCTTGTTGATCATGTCCTTTGCTTTACAGAACTTTTCATTTCCAGGAGGTCCCATTTATTAATTGTTGCTCTCAGTGTCTGTGGTGCTGGGGTTATATTTAGGAAGTGGTCTCTGTGCCAATGCATTCAAGTATACTTCCCAGGTTCAGTGTGGTTAGTTTTTATGTGCACCACCACCACCTGGCTTGGACTTGAGTTTTGTGCATGGCGATAGATGTGGGTCTATTTGCATTCTTGTACATGTTGATATTCAGTTATGCCAGCACCATTTGTTGAATATGCTTCCTTTTTTCGATTTTATATTTTTAGCTTCTTTGTCAAAAATCAGGTGTTCATAGGCGTCTGGATTGATATCTGGGTCTTCAGTTCAATTCCCATTGGTCCTCCTGTATAGTTTTATGCCAATACTAGGCTGTTTTCAGTACTGTAGCTCTATAGCAGAGTTTGAAGTCTGGGATTGCGATGCCTCCAGAAGTTCTTTTGTTGTACAGGATTGTTTTGACTATCCTGGATTTTTTGTTTCCTATATAAAGTTGAGTACCGTTCTTTCGAGGTCTGTGAAAATTTTTGCTGGGATTTTAATGGATATTGCTTTGAATCTGTAGATTGGTTTTGGTAAAATTGCTATAAAATGCTTGTCTTACAACAAGCATGAGGATCTGAATTAGATCATGATCACAAAGGAACTAGTCTCCGTAAAGACTTACAGTCTAAGCAGAAGCTAAATTGAGTGCCCATAAAGGGATAGGTTTGAGAAAAGTTCATGAAAACCATTTGAGGCAGAGGTTAAATTATGTGCTATGTACCCTATTTCTAAATGATCTCCTTTGACTAGACACCAGAAACAAGGTACTATTTGGCACTCAGGAATATTTGAATTATTCTGAAATTCTGTTTTTGTGTAGAAACCTTATTTTTCTGATGTCAGTTTAATGAAGCACGGGTTAAATGGGACTTTTGCCCTTTTTCAGATTTTTAATCTTTTAGAAAGACACTTTAAAAACAGAGGCAGTAAAACATTTAAAAATTCTAGCTAGCTGTGATGTTACATGCATGTAATCCTGGCATTTGAGAGGAGGTGGTAGGTGAATCAGGAGTCAAGGTCAGTTTCTGACCAACACATGACCTTGTCTCAAACAAAAAGAAAAGACTTTTTCTGTCAGTTTGTCTCTTGACTAGGAAACGGAGGCACATGGGAGGCAAATTGCTTAACTGAGGTAGTGCCTCATTTTAGCTGTGGGACCATTGTCAGGAGTGGGTGGGTAGTGCATCACCTCCATTCTATCACTATAGTACACTTACTATCAATAGCATTGGCAATTTTGTACAAGCGTTTCAGTTATATTCTGAATTCGACTCATTTACAGTTACTTCTATAACTAGGCATAGCTTTTGATATATTATTAAATATCTGAGGAAAAAAGTGTTTCTGATCTGTGAATTTTTAAAAATTTTATATTTAGAGTGAGGTACTGAATTCTCTTTATTGTCTTCTCATTTGCTCAGTGAGTACCTACATGTCTGGTGGTGAGCATTAAATCATTGTAGGACTGGGGATGTGTCATGGTGGTAAGCATTAAATCATACTCTAGGGCTGGGATGTAGGTCAGTAATAGAGTGCTGGTATAGCATGCCCAAGGTACCCAACACATCAGAAGAAGAAGAAGATAGCTTTTATGTAGTACTTACTATAGTGATACCAGTATTCAAGGACTACAGGTAAGTTTAATTCGTAAGCATGCAGGTTTATATTGAAGATAAATTCTATATTTATAGAACTTATTTTGGTACACGATTGGTAATAGAGAAATAGAAATCTCTCTTTTTGGGGGACTGGTTTGAGCCAGGCTTTCTTTGTGTAGCCCTGGCTGTCCTGGAAATAGCTCTGTAGACCAGGCTGGCCTCCAGGCCACAGAAATCTGCCTGCCTCTGCCTCCCTAGTGCTGGGATCAAAGGTGTGCACTACCACCACCTAGCCAAATATCTCTGTAGAATTGAAATGCCTTTTTACAAATATATGTCCTATAATCTATTTTGTAGAAAATAGGGTTAGGTATATGAAAAATTCTTAACAGTATTAAAATTGTTATAGTGCAATATCTTTCATATTTGTCATAAAAGAATCTGCCCCCTAATTATTTTAATTAGTCTTTTTGAAAAGGCATCAACATGTTTCTGTTGCATCTATCTAGTGCCTACAGCATATAAAAACATTGCAATCAATATAGTGAAGATCCCTGACCCTCAGTAATTTATTTTTAAAAACATTTGAACCAGTTTCCATCACTGGAGACAGGTGAAATGAAATTCTTTTTAGAGCTCTGTATAAGCTTGTGGCTCTTAAGCTTAAAAACTAGCAATAAAAAGAAAGACATAGCCTCTCTTCTGTTGTATTTCTAAGGATGAATCTTTCAATTAAAATAGAATCCTGCCCGTTAGATCTTATAACAGTAAAAAGTGAGCTATGTACATAATTTGTTAAAGGACTTTTGCTTTTTTTTTTTTTTACTAAAAATGTTGCTTTTGCTGCTTCATTCCTTAGAAATTTGGTTTGTTATAGAAGTTTTAGCTGACTTGAGAGAGAGAGAGAGAAAGAGAGAGAGAGAGAGAGAGAGTGTGTAGTGATAATGTCTAACATGGAGGTCCTTGACTTAATCCCCAAACTTAATAACTATTATTTAAATACTACTGGCCCTAAACTAGGACCTTTACACACATTGTCTCACTTAATTTTTATATATTTTTTGAGAAACACTGTAGTTATTTTATGTTTATGAAAAACTGACACTCGAGAAGTTATATAACTTACACTCAGCTGGGTATGGTTGTTTATGCCTGTTATCCCCGTACTGGGGCAGCAAAAGTAATGGAATTGGACATTTAGAACCAGTTTTTACCTATGTAGGAGTTGATGCCAGTCTGGATTACATGTTAGAACCCTGTCTCAAAACACAACAATGTCCTAGGGTTTTTATTGCTGTGAAGAGACACCATGAACAGGGTCACTCATATATAAAGGAAAACATTTAATTGGGGCGGCTTACAGTTCAAAGGTTCAGTCTGTTATCCTCATGATGGGACATGGTGCTGAAGAAGTAGCTGAGAGTCCTACATCTTTCAGGCAACAGAAAGTGGTCTGAGAACTTGGCAGTATCTTGAGCATATATGAGACCTCAAAACCCACCTCCACAGTGGCATACTTCCTCCAAGAAGGCCAGACCTACTCCAGCCAAAACGCATGTAATTGTGCTCCTCCCTTTGGTTGCTGTTTTCTTTCAAACCACCACAAACAACAACAAAAATTTTCATAGTAAATATGTGAAGGATCCAGGATTCTAACTGACCTAGTTGACTCTCTTACTGCCTACTATATGTTGTTTATGCCATATTGGTTTTCACAGATGATTCTTATAACAAATGTCTTTGTTTTGCTAGCATAGATGTATAGATACATGCATACGAGATACCAAAAGCCTATATGCCAGTATGTTGTAAATATTTCTGGATGCTGAGTTTTGGGTTTTTTTAATTTAAAATGAAATTTTAAATTTTATTTTTATTTATCTGTATGTTTTATAAGCAAAATCATGTTTTATGTGTAATAAACTTTTTATGATATATGCTGAGTTTATTGTAGTTGAGATGTTGTGACTGACTTGCAATGTGTTGCTTATTTATAGGTCAATCAGCCTTATTTCCTCAGTGGAAATTTAGTCACTATGATGTGGTAGTTGGTGTGTTATCAGCTCGAAATAACCATGAACTTCGAAATGTGATAAGAAACACCTGGCTGAAGCATTTGTTGCAGCATCCTACTTTAAGTCAGCGGTAGGTTTTCTGAATTACTCTTTGTCTGTTTCAAGAACTGAAAACAAACAAACAAAAAACCCTTGGTTTTAAAAGTCAAATATTGGGACTGAAGAGATGACTTGGTGGTTAAGAGCACTGGCTGTCTTTCTGGGAAGCTAGGTTCAATTCCCAGCACCTCCATGGTGACTCACACCTATCTGTAACTCTAGTTCCAGAGGATCTAATTTCATTTCTGGTCTATGTGGGCTCTGCACACGTGTGGTTCTCAGACATACATGTAGAGAAAACACTCATACATGTTGAGGGATGTTTTACTCTTTTGGCTTTTGTGGGGGCCCAACCACCCAGCTCCCAAATAAATCACACAAGGAGGCTTATTTTTAGTTATGAATGCCCAGCCTTAGCTTGGCTGGTTTCTTGCCAGCTTTTCTTACATTATCCCCACCACCTTTTGCATCTGGGCTTTTCCTTTTTTACTTCTGCATTATCTTACTTACACTCTTATTCTGTGACTGGCTGGGTGGCTGGCCGGTCCGCCTCTAGCATCCTTGTTCTCTTGCTATGCTGCTCCTTGTCCTCATTTCTCCTCCTGTTTATTCTCTGCCAGCCCTGCCCCTGCCCTGCTGTTGGCATTCAGCTCTTTATTAGACCATCAGGTGTTCCAACCAGGCAAAGAATCACAGCTTCACAGAGTTAAACAAATGCAACGTAAACAAAAGCAACACATCTTTACATCATTAAACCAATGTTCCACAGCATACACAAAAGTAACACACCTTAAAATAATATTTCCCAATTCATACATGTAAAATAAATCTTTTTTTGAAAGGAGACACTGAGTTAGAAACATGGCCCTTTGGGGAGTAATGACCAGAAGGCACTTGAAAGAGTATGTTTTCGGGTTGGCATCCTAGATTATTTTCAATAGCCTCACATTTTTCAGTCGTGTAGTATTTTAATGGTATGATGGTGTGCATGACATGCCATCACAGTCTCTCCTACCCACCCTCCCAGAACTGGGCTATGCACTGCCTCTCCTGCTCATTGTAGTTGGCCCAGCTGGTATTCAGGAATGGTTGGGCATGAATGGTTAGCGTGGAAAGTGAAAGCAAGAAAAACCAACATAAACTATGATTTTGGTCTGAGCGGCTGATAACAAGTTCTCGTTGGGCATGACAGGAAAGACTACCGGAATTTGAGTTCTGGAGGTGGCTCTGTGGCCTTACCCTGGCTATCCAGTCATGTGCTAAGTGTGAACATCTCTTAAGACTGCAGTGAAAAGCTGAAGGGAAAGGCATGAGGCTGAGCTACCTAGGATGGGAAGACACGGAGCTGTAGCAGAAAAGTTCTCTTGGGGTTGTAGTAAACCGTCACTTTCTTGGTTGGCTGTTGAGGTAAATTGCAGTTGGTGATTTTCTTGTCACCGACAGTGAACATGTATAGATTTCCTATCTTCCTCATGGCAGCTTCCATTCCTCTTCCTGGTAGGTTTTCTTTAGTACATGACCACAATAATAAATCCTGTACCTAGCAAGGAAAGGCCTCAGATCCTGCAGAGCTTGGCTTCCAGCAGTCTTGACTGTCATGCCCAGTAAGAATGTGCCACCAACTGCTCAGACCAAAATCATGGTGTTATGTTGGTTTCCCTTGCCTTCACTTCCCATGCCAACCAAGCTCGTATGTCAGACTTCTCACACCCTTTGCCCCTGCCTTCCTTACCTGTATTCCACCTTTTCCTGTCACTTGGATTGTTGTAGAAGTCCCCTATATGGATTGCTTGCTTTGTCTTAGTCCTATTCCACATTATATTTTTCATATAGCTGCCAGACCAGAATGATCCTCCAATTAGTTAATTGTCCAATTTTGTTAATTCTCTATTCATAATCTCCATTGATACTTGGGTGTGTGTGTGTGTGTACGCATGCACATGTGTGTTCCTGCCTGTTTCTGTTGTCTTTTCTTTCTCAGAATAAAGTCCTATCAGGCATAAATAGGAGGTTAAGGTCATCCTCAGCTGTATACTGAGTTTGATGCTAATCTTGGCTACATGACACTTGTCTCTAAATAAATAAATATAATAAAATAAAAATCCCAAATTATGGTAGTCATTGACCTTGTCTACATCACCTTCTCCTATGTAAGTCAATTTACTGTGTTTCCTCATGCTCCAGGATTGATTTTTTTTAATGCATACAAAATAATGTTGATCTTTATTATTATAACAAGTTTGTCATTGTACTTTCCTTCATACTTACCCTCACCCTCTCATCCTTCCTATGATTCCATCCTTTTGCTTTCGTGTCGCACTTCACACACACACACACACACACACACACACACACCTACCTAGATTCTGCATGTGAGAAAAACGTATGATGTCGTCTTTCCCATTCCCCATACCTCTCCTCCCAAGGTTCACTATTCAAGCTTCCTCTTTAGAGGCCTTGCCCTCTCTTAGACCACCTTTTCACTGAATGTCTTCATAGTAGCCTTCCTTCAGGGCTCTGGTAGATGTTACCTTAGCACAGAGTTTCAGATTAAATAGCACTCTGCTTCTTTTCTCCCATCTTCTCTTGCTCGACTTTATTATTCCACACATTACCAGCTAGCATGTGTGATACACTTTTAAGTTATACACTTCCCCACTAGGAAGTAGGCTGTTTGTTTTTTGTTTTCTGTACTGATAGAATTTCAGTATCTACAACCTATCCTGTCCATGAGTGAGGTACTCAACAATGAAGACCTCAGAACTAAAAATAATCAGTATAATTTATAGCAGTAATTCATTTGCTTTTGTAGCAGTTATTTAAATGTAGTAAGCTTGTGTTTGTTTTTCTGAAGATAATGGATTGTCTACATAAGAACAGATTGAAGCCCAAAAATAACTTTCTAGGGCATAATAGTTATATGGATTTAATAAGGTTATTTAAGATAGCTAAAAAAAAAATGGTGAGTGTATGTAATTTAGTTACCATATTACTCATGTCTGTATGTATCTTTATTACAAATGCTAATTGTCTACCTAGGTGTTCCGCCCAGCTGGCCAGTAGAAAGAGATGATGCATTCTGTGGTTATAGCACTCTTTGATAGCTGTGTTTTACTAAAGAAGTCACACTCAGCTTTATTTATGAGCACCGTGTTTGGCTCTAAGCCTCTGTGATAGACTGTAATTTGTCACTTTAATGCATTTATTGTTCTAAGGTCATGCACCATGTGTGTTAAAACACAGAGGTGCAGTAGAGCTGGAGTCTAGGGGCCTTGGACATAGAGCTAGGTGTAGTAGTGCAGTGTAGGATACAATGGAAATACCTGTAAAATAGCCTGGAATGGGACTAGAGAGCTGGCTCAGCAGTTAGGAATGCTGTTCTTCCAGAGGAACCTGAGTTCTGATCCCTGCACCTTTATCAGGTGCCTTGCAACTACCTGGAATTCCAGCTCCAGGAAATCAACTCCTGACTGCTGTAGGCACACTCCGGCTGCACAGGTGCCAAGTGTGCGCATGTGCTTGCGTGCACACACACGCACATACAGACAGAATGTGATAAAATTCAGTCTCACCCCCCCCCCCCAACACGGTTTCTCTGTCCTAGCTGTCCTGGAACTAACTCTTATAGACCAGGTTGGCCTCAAACTCACAAACTCACAGAGATCCACCTGCCTCTGCCTCCCGAGTGCTGGGGTTAAAGACATCCACTACCACTACCTGGCAAAGAAAAAAAAAGTCTTTTTTTTAAAATAGCCTGGGGTGCTTGAGAAACGGCAGTCATATGTAACCTGGGGGCTGTTGAAAGTGTTAGAGCAGGGGAATGCCTAGGAAAGAAGGAGAGAGGGAGAAGACTGTAAGGGGTGGGGGAAGGAGGAAAGGCCTGTGGCTGTAAGAGGTCAGCAGGACCTGCTCAGACCAGGACTGCCAAGGAGTGTGACTCCTGAGCAGTGATCTCATCAGAGGATGTGAGAGGAACAGGTATATCAGTAAGGGCCGACTGTCTGACGTGGAGAGCTGTGAAGTCCCCAGTCAGAGTGCTGGGCATGTGTTTGAGCTCAGGGGCCCACAGACTGGAGTGTCCTCTGTAAATGGTTATTGAATGACTCTCTGTAAAAAAGGCTGCTCATATGTACACAGGTTTATCATAGTTTTATTGATAGAAAGATGTAGCACATAGTTGATAGGTAGTAACATTCATGCAGTACTCTATAAAGTTAGTCAGTTCTATTTGGCCAGTTAATTCTCATAGAATGCTTGTTTTGCCAGGATATTAGATCCGTAACAAACTTATTACTGGAATCAGCAAAGGCATATAGCTCTGAGGTAAATATTTTACGTTAAAGAATAAGACTTAAGGTTGAAGATATGGCTCAGCAAGTACCTACCTATATGCTCTTCCAGAGAACCTAGGTTCAGTTACCAGCACCAGCATGGCAGCTCACAACTGTCTGTAACTCCAGTCCCAGGGGACCCACTACCCTCTTCTGATCTCCATGAGAATGTGTGCATGTGGCAATGGATGTACATACAGGCAAAACACCCCTACACATAAAAATAAGAAGTAAAATGATCAAAAAAAAAAGTTTGAAAGTAAGACTAAAGTGTTTACTAAGATATCTCAGTACTTTATTCTCAATCAGTGAAGTCAGTGACTTTGAATCAGGTAATAGTTTTTGGACATTGAAAAAATACTGTTCACACAGTAACGACTGAAGATCTATTATACTTAGTTTTAATCTGTGTTACTAACATTTTCTTATACTTTCAGGCTAGACAAACAGTGATACAAAAAGTCTAGTCCTTATTTATATTATTTATTTCTGTGGTTTAAATGTTTTCTCCAAGGCTAATTTCAAACAGCTACTGTGACATAGCTGGGTGTAGAGCTATGAGAAGATGTATACCGTATACCGTAAACATTCTATCAGACAGATAAAAGAATGGGGAACTTGAGTATTCCCTTGTTTAAAATATATTCTTCTGTAGTTTAATAAACACTGTACTCAACCATTTACAAAATTCCTGAAAATTTGACAACTAGCTTTCATAAACCAGCACTTCAGAACTTAGCTTCCTGTGGGTACTCTAGATACCGAAGAACTTGAGGAGTGATTACTCTAAGGATGAGTCTGCACTAGATGTGCTAGCTCAAGAATCATTCTTGTACCAGTTACACCTTAGGAATAAGTGAGTGTTGACAGAGGATAGGGAGTAAGAAGAATGAGCAGACCAAGAAGAGATGAAGGGCAAAACCTTGGGTAACAAGTCACAAGGTTACCAGTGACTGACACAAAGCGGGAGCAGCAGGGCCCTCCTCTTAGAAATACTAGTCCAGCAAGAGAAAAGGAAAATTCCAAATGCAGTTTCTGAGAAGCTGATATTACTGTGATCTGCTGTGCTGGCATGAGCATTTGCTGGTAGCCAGGCCAAACTTGCTTTAGTAAAGTCGTTCAGTAGTTAGCAGCCCTTAGGTTGCATGTGCCTTCTCTTTGGTAGGCTAGAAAAATAAAGTTAGAGAATAGTCTCAAAGGTCTGGAATGAGCACGAGGAAATGGCTCTATGTGAAATGAATCCATAACTGACGTTAATTCCCCATCTCTTAGTGTGCTTGTGAAGTTCATAATAGGTGCTCGTGGCTGTGAAGTGCCTGTGGAAGACAGGGAGGATCCTTACTCCTGCCGGCTGCTCAACATCACCAACCCAGGTGCGTTGTCCTCCAGGCTGCCTGCCGTCTATTTGTTGTAAGTAAAAGGTGCTAAAGTTTATGGAAGAGAGTCCATTTTTAACCAACTAAATATTTGTCATCAAAATTTGTATTCCAGCCTTTTTGACAGATGCACTAGTCACTCAGGGAGTCTCTGGGATTCTTTACTGATAAAGAATTTCTGGGCTGACCTATATATACACTTGAGTATGACTTAGTGCATCTAGAGAATTAGATTACTCATAGATTGCTGAATTTTGAACTTTTGGAAAATGTTGACTTTACCAATTAATTTATAATAACTATGATACAAATATTGTGAGTTGACTTTGATTTTGAATTATTGCTAAAAATCAAGTGTAATTAGATGTGTCTCCCACCCACCAGTTTCCGAATAACCACTCAGAGGCTTAATATTAATTATAAATGTTTGGCCAATAACTCAGGCTTATTACTAGCTAGCTCTAACATTTAAATTAACCCATTTCTATTAATGTGTTTTCCTGTGACCCGTGACTGGCCAGTGCTGTGGCATGTTGCTCCTTGGGCAGCTGCTGGTATCTCCCAGACTCTGCCCTTCTTCACCTGTATCTCTGCTTGGATTTCTCGCTTGACTCTATCTTGCCTTGCCATAGACCAAAGCACTTTTATGAACAACACATGTTCATAGTGTGCAAAAGATATCCCACAGCAACCAGGTGATGTGGCACATGCCTGGAATCCCACCATTGGGGAACCAGAAGTGGGAAGATCACTTCTGCTGGGAATCAGCCTGGGTGATATATCAAGAACATGCAAAAAAAAGAAAGAAAGAAAGAAAGAAAAACTTTAAGAGGTTAAAAGTCCCAGACTATTGACTAAGCTTCTGCAAAAGAAACAAGAAAAAGTTTGAATTACTAAAAATTATTTTATACTCCTTAGAATTAAGTCTGTGAGAATCTAGATAAGGATGCAGAAAGCTGATGCTAATGAGGTTTCCATGTTGTCAGGGAGGCTGTTACTACTCTTTATTAGCATTCCCATTGTGTTCGGCTGCAGTTCTAAAGGAGGCTTTCCACATCTGCCGGGTGTGCTGGTCTACTTTAAAGTTTCTTAGTCTTCACAGTTACATGTATCTCACTTTTTGAAGTGTGATCATACGCAGGTGTGGGCTGAAAATCTGTGGCTCTAAAGCCAGCCCTGCCATGTTAGCTCTGTGGCCTCCTGAGTCTGCATTTCATTATCTGTAAGCAAGTAATAAAGTGTATAATTGCGCACACCTTTAATTGCAGCCTTTGGGAGGCAGGAATATTGTTGTAAGTTTGAGATCAACCTGCCTACAAAATGAGTTCCAGGTCAGCCTGATCTACAGAGTGCTATTAAAAAAAGAAAGAAAGAAAGAAAGAAAAAAAAAAGAAAAAGAAAAAAGAAAGGGAAAAAAAAAGTCGTCTCATGGAGACTAGTACAGGGTGAAGTAAATGATAGAACATTTAGTGTAGGTTCTAGAACTCCATAGATACTTTGTACTAAAGAGCCTGCCTTTTTCATGGATTGGATTTCGGCCCACTTTTTCAATAAATTGAGCATATATTCTAGTCTTTATCATAAAGCAGAGGTTTGTAGACAAAATTGTACATATATTTGTGTTCTTCTGAGGAGAGGTTCCATTAGCTTTTAGTAGAGAGCATAGGATCGTAACCTCATCAGATGTATTGTTACTAAGGTAGTAGCTTACAGAAATGAAAACCAGACAACCACATACAGAAACATTACTCAGGGCTGGAGGGATAGCCCACTGACAGAGTGCCTGCCTAGCAGTTTGCAGCCCTGTTCCCATCCCCAGCACTTGTTACCTGGAACTTACCATCTTAATTGCTTATTGATAGTAGAGGGGTAAAACTGCACTGTTTAATGTAGGTATATCTTATTACCCTCTGAGCATTTGGGTTATTTCAGTATCTAAAGGTCATGAACATTAATCCTACTGCTGTGTGTCTAGAAGGTTTGATTAATGGCTGCTGTTAAAGCAACAAGATTTCCTGCTCCAGGTAGCTTGAACTTAAGGTACATTTGTTTAAGGTAAAGAAAGTCTAAGAATGACTTGACCTCCTGTTTTTAATAGACATGCTTCTTTCTACTTTGGATGCCTTTTGTCTCCTGAATATACTAAAGAGGAAAACTTGCTGTCGTCCAGTCTGGATGCTGACAGTGCTCTTTAGCTCGTGGCAAAAAATTCTGTCCCTTCTTGCCCTCTCCTGCTCATGTCTATTAACAAGAAGGAGGCAGCATTTTATTTCATTTTATTGACGATCTTTTTAAGTATAAGATACCTTCTAGGACTAAAGTGAGGGACCTAAATATGTACAAGGTAGGACATATTCTAGTCTCTGTAAAGCAGGGCTGTCTTTCTTAGAAAGTGAACTTGGTAAATTCTATCAAAGCAGAATTTTGTGTTAATTGTGTTAATTTGAGGAGTGGGATCCAGTGGTTTTCAGTGAGCTATGCGGTGTCAAGAATCAGCCCCAGGACCTTGTATGTACTGGGCAGGTCAGCTTCACCACTGAATTGATCTCACAGCCCTGATACCAATGTACAGACTGGCTACACACATTGATTTTTATCTGGTTGGGCCATCAGCAGAGTTTAAAAACTACAGAGAACTTTGTCTTTAAAGTAGGTTTTATATTTCTCAAACAATTTTTGACAAATAAGCCATATTTTATTATCATCTAATCTCTCCTGGTTCTTTTATTGTAATTAGAAAAGTTACTTAAAAAGGATTATTGATTGGGGAAATTGGCTTTCTGGTAGAGTAGTTGCTTAACATGAGTGAAGCCCAGGTTCAGTTCCCAGCTCTGAAGAAAAAAAAAGAGAGTTCAGGAAACTGATATAAAAGGAGCTCTGACTTGTGAGCCGTTAAACATGGGTCTGATTCCCGATTCCATCACTTTTTGTGACTTGGGGTCGATTACTCAGTGTCCATTAGGACTATAGAGTCTTACCTGGTAAGTGACATAACGCTCCTCCCCAAAGGGTGTGTGTAGATGTGATGGGTAGTGTAGAGTAGGTGCTCAGAATCCGCTTAATTTACTTATCTGCCATAAATATTTTATAGCAAGTTTCTCAGTGTTGTTTAAATTGATTTCATTCCTATACCGCAGTGGTTTCCAAACATACCATAAACTTTCAGATTGCTTAATAAGAAGTAGCATTTTTAGAACTTGCAGGGCAAGATCAAATTTTCTAATCATTTTTACTATATACTAAGTACTTTAATAATGTTCAATAGTGTTTATCCAGGCCTTCCGTGTAGATAGATACCTTGCAGTTGACTTACATTAAGTATTTACCTATGGGATGTTGTGTGTGTTTGCACATGTGTGTGTGCAGAAGTCTGGATTTTATCTGATGGCATAATACCCTATCCTTGTTGTTTAGTTTTGAATCAAGAAATCGAGGCCTTCAACTTCCCTGAAGATACTTCCTCATCCAGACTCTCTGAAGATCAAGTTGTCAGCGTGAGCTTCCGAGTTCTCTACCCTATCGTGATTACCAGTCTTGGAGTGTTCTATGATGCCAGTGACCTTGGTTTTCAGAGGAACATCACAGTCAAGTTGTATCAGGCAGAGCAGGAGGTGTGTATTGGCATGAACAGGATTTTTCCAATTTTCTTCCTTAGAAACTTTTCCTTGTGGCCCTCAGTAGGTAAAAAGACTGAACCTTCTCCATGGTTGGGTGACTTCCGTCTTTCTTCCTGTATTGGTTGAAGTTAAATATGTTGCATTGTAGTGCTGGTTTGTGGAGAGATTACCATAGATAGATGAATTATATGTACAAAAGGAAAAGTTGGACTAGATTAGGAAGTCCAAACCTAAATTCCCCATAGCTTCGTTAACAAAGGTGTCAGAAATATGAGCTGAAGAGAAGGCAGTCTTTTCAAAAATGAATCTAACTAATTGTATGGCCACCTGCAAAAGAATAAAATTAGATCCATATCTTTTACCTTGCACAAAAAGTCAGTTCAAATTGGATCAGAAACCTTAATTTAAAATCATAAACTGCTCTGGGAAACATTTCAGGACATGGGTACAGGCAACAAATGTCTGAATAAAACCCTGGTAGCATAAGAAACAGCTTCAAGACCTGACAAATGAGACTACATGAAACTAAAAGGCTTTAACAACAAAAGAAATTTATCAACAGAATGAACATACTACAAAATGGGAGAAAAGTCTTTGTAAACTATACTTTATGATTAATATTTGAATGTATAAAGAACTACAAAAATGCAGTGGTGGCGCATGCCTTTAATCCCAGCATTTGTGAGGCAGAGACAGGTGGATCTCTGTGAGTTCGAGGCCAGCCTGGTTTACCAAGTGAGTTCTAGAACAGGCTTCAAAGCGGCAGAGAAACCCTGTTTCAAAACAAAACAAAACGAAAAAAACCTACAAAAATAATTTTAAAACTGCCAGTCAGTAAATGGCCAGTGATTTGTACAGTTCTCATAAGAAAAAACACAAATGGCCAGTAATTTTTTTAAGTATTTAACATATTTAGCCATAAAAGAAATATAAATTCCATTTCACCCTAGTTAGAATGATCATATAATTTGCCAGCACCATTTTTGAAAAGACTTTTTTCCCCAGCTCATGTTTCTGACACCTTTGTTAATGAAGCTGTGGGGAATTTAGGTTTGGAATTTCTAATCTAGTCCAACTTTTTCTTGTGTACATATAACAAAAAATGCTGGTGAGGATATGACGAAAGAGGAGCCCTTATCTAATGTTAATATAGTCACTGTAGAAACCAGTGTGACCATATGACCCAGCTATGTTACTCCTGCACATACACACAGAGGACTCAAACCTACTGCAGAAAAGTACTGCCCATGTTTATCACCACTCTTTTTACAGAAGAATGGATAATGAAAATGGGGTACGTATTTACAGTAGAATTTTACTCGGTCATAAAGAAAAATGAAATTTGCAGAAAAATGGACAGAACAGAACTAGAGAATGTTATATAGTGAAGACACTAAAACTTGAATGACAAATGCTGCCATATGTTCTCTTTTGTAAGATGTTGATTCTAGCCTCTCACTGTTAAATATCTGGGTCAAGTTGAAAGTGAATGGCTGAAGGCCAAGACACTAGGAGGTGGCTCAGGCAATTTGCTTGGGGTGGGGATAGACAATAGAAAAAAGGGAAGTAGAGTAGTGGATGTAGTGAGTCTTCCTCTGTCCCACCTGCCAGCTCCCAAATAACCACATGGACTCTGATTCTTTTTTTTTTTTCAAATATTTATTTATTTATTATGTGTACAATATTCTGCCTGTGTGTCTGCCTGCAGGCCAGAAGAGGGCTCCAGACCCCTTTACAGATGGTTTGAACCACCATGTGGTTGCTGGGAATTGAACTCAGGACCTTTGGAAGAACAGGCAATGTTCTTAACTTCTGAGCCATCTCTCCAGCCCCTGGACTCTGATTCTTTTGAAGGGTTCCCGTGTACATTGGTTTTCCATAGAAATCTGTGAACTTTCACTTTGTTCTTGGCTATATATGGCGGGGGGAATATTAAAATGTGTTGGTTCAATTTAGTGAAAATGCTCATTTCCTTTAGTACATTTCATATCAAGGTAAGTTTTTAAAGACTGTATAAATATATAATCTTTAAATCATAGTTTATCTTCATAATTTCATTCAGGCCTGGTGGCAAACCTAATCCCAGCTGCTTGGGAAGCTGAGGCAGGAGGATCAAAAGTATCTTAGCAACTTAGCAAGACACTGTCTTAAAAGAGGGCTGTGCTTGCTGCAGGTAGTGAAGTGCTTACCTAGCATGCAGAGGGCTGTCCGCTGAATCCCTAGAGCAATGAAACAAGTAATATAGTAATCCAGTGGCCATGGCAACAGCACTAAAAAATCTTGATGGGGCAGAAGAGATGGCTTAGTGGTTAAAAGTGCTTGTTATTCTTGCAGAGGATCTGAATTCGGTTTCCAACACCCATATGATGGCTCACAACTGTCTTATCTATAACTTCAGTTTTAGGGAATCTGATGCCCTCTTATGCATTCTGTGTGTACAAGGCATATATGCGGTACATAAACATACATGCAGGTAAAACACTTATGCTGGGGGGCAGTGGCAGCAGCAGCAGCAGCAGCAGCAGGGGTGTATGCCTTTAATCCCAGCACTTGGGAAGCAGAGGCAGGCGGATCTCTGAGTTCAAGGCCAGCCTGGTCTGTAAGAGCTAGTTCCAGGACGAGCTCCAAAGCTACAAAGAAACCCTGCCTCAAAACATTAAAACAAAACAAAACAAAACAACATAAAACAAATACATTTAAAACAAAAAGGTAGAGCTGGAGAGATGGCTCAGTCCATGGTTAAGAGCACTGGCTACTCTTTCAGAGGACCCAGGTTCAATTCCCAGCACCCACATGGCAGCTCACAACTGTCTATAACTCTAGTTTCAGAGGGTCTGATATCCTCATACAGACACACATGTAGTCAAAACACCAGTGTACATAAAATAAAAATAAATCATTAAAAAAAACCCAAAAAGTAAATACCTGAAAGTTGTTGAAACCACAGTGAGTGTGATTGGTGGCTTTGTGTATTTACTGATAAAGCTACACCGTGTCTGAGGATCTGTTGCATTTACAGTATATAACAGGAAAATTGTCTTTGTTTCTCCCTTCCTCCTTACCCATCTTGCAGGAGGCTCTTTTCGTTGCTCGATTTAGTCCTCCAAGCTGTGGCATACAGGTGAACAAGCTATGGTACAAGCCTGTGGAGCAGTTCATCTTACCAGAGGTATGGCTAGAGTGAAGACCAGTGTTGCTTTTGTAGGTGTGTGCTTTGTTGCATCACGTCAGCTCTACAGGGTGGAAGCAGCAGTACCAACAAAGCTTGCACTAAATTTTGCAGTTACACCAAGAGAACTTCTTAGCCATGGTTTTTAAAAATGCCTGTTGCCATGGTTAACTTAAAGTTGAGAACTGTGTCTCAGTGGCAGAGGGTAGTATTAAGTCTTATAAACAGTAGATATTTTGGAAGTTAAATGTTTTACTTATCTAAGGAATTGTAAAAAAAAAAATGCCTGTTGTGGGATATTTTGATTGTACTCTGACACTCCTGAGACTGCCAATAAAATTTACCTTGAATCAGAGAGATGAGCTAGCTACTGGCTGACCAAAATTAGCCATAGAGGTTTTGGATCCAGAACATATAGAGAGATACAGAAAGGAGGGGCTTAGAAAGATTCTTCACCCTTTTGGAGTGAGGAAGAAGAGAGAGAGGAGGTCTCTGGTCACTTTGCTGCTGCTTCTCTAATTCAAGGTAAACTTTATTGGCAGTCTTGGGACTGTCAGAGTGCGATCAGAATATCCCACAGCATTGCCAGGTATGATGGGGCACACTTAATCCCAGCATTCTGTAGGTAAAAGCAGGCAGAACTCTATGAATTTAAGGCCAGCCTGGTCTACATACTGAGTTCAGGACAGCTAGTGCTACGTAATGAGACCCTGTACCAAATATTAAAAATGAAAAACAGTGCGGATAGGATAATAGGCAATATTTTCAAGTTAAATAAAAATTTATTAACAGTGAACACTTGTGGATGATGTCTGAATACATGTCAGTCACCTCTGGGCTCTTGGACAGTCTTAAATCTTACATGCTGGAGACCATTTTGTCTGCTAGATGCCCTCATGCATGCTGAGGGTTTCCCCAGTGTAGTCAAGGACTATAACAGAGGCAGGTGTGAGCAGTGCCCATCCACCATCTTCAGCCTATTCATTGAGTCCTCTTCCGAACTTAGTGCTTTGAAACCATAGTAGGGGTCAGAGTGTTGGACAGTTATGGGTTCACTGAAAACTATCTTGAGTTTGTCTACAAAATCAAAGCTAAGTTAAGATGTGAAAGCTGGACAATTGGCAGCTTCCTTGTTAAGCTTGTCTCATGGTGTTCCAATTAAGGGCAAAAGCAGAGCCACACATTTTGTGGTGTGTTGTGTACTTTTGGCATCAAATATAAGTAGTTGAAACAACATTTGTATGCTGATTAGTCATTTGATACAAGCTAGATTCATCAAAGAAGAGGGAGCCTCAATTGTGAAAATGTCTATAAAGTTGGGCTATAGGCAAGCCTGTGTGGCAGTAACCCCAACTGAGACAATATGTTAATTCTATATCAGAGAAGTCTTGCCCTCTCTGTGGCTGTGTCTGTCATGAGGTAGAGATGCTGCAGTTACTGGTCTAGAGGGCTTTTTAGGGAATGACTGGTTCTACACAGGTGGACCACTTAGAATGTGCTGCCACATGGCAAGCATTCTATAGATCACTACACCATGATTCTCCCTATACGTTAACTACTTGCCACGAGAGGACACTTAGCAATGCCTGGTACCCTTGTGTGTAACATTGGGCTGTGAGTGTCTGAAATGACAAGGGTTTGAGCTTGAGAAGCTCCTTGAGGGAGGAGCCTCTTTGGGTAACGTCAGCAGGAGGAAAGTATGTTTTAATGCTTCAGCCAGTCATGGGTTTATAGTGTGTCCCTTACATTTCCTTGGTCTGTAAAAAGCGTTCCTCAGAATGCCATTGTTGTTGAGAAGTGCTGTGTCACGGTGCGTCTGCATTCCTCTTTAGGAAGAGTATGAACAGGACATAGCTGTACAAGTGTGAAGCACTAGGCGGGCATTCACATGACGACTCTAGCTTCTTTGTAGATTTGTAGTTTTTCAGAATAAAAATTTAGTTAGGGGACAGGGGTGCCAATGCTTGGAGGAACTTTGTTGATTTGTTGTTTCTATCAAAGAGAAAAAAAATGTGACAGAAACCTGTCTGTACCAGCAGAAGCAAAAGAGCACTACTCTGGCTGCCCTACATTTTACAATTAAAAATAGTTTATTAATTCTCTGAGAATTTATTCAGCTTATTTTGATCATATTCACCCGTCCCACAGACTCCTCCAGAATTCACGCTAGCCTTCTTAACACCCAAATTCAAGTCCCTTATTTTAATTTTCTAGATAAACCGTGAGGTCCAGTTTGTGCAGCCCACGTACTCCTGAGCGTGTGGTTGTCCACTGGCGCATACTCAGCCTACCAGTGTTAAAGAAAACACTTATTCTCCCTCCCACAAAAGCAATCAATTGTCCATACCTGGAAATTGTTTGGTTGTTTTTGTTCTTGTTTTGAAACAGGGTCTCACTGTAGTTTCAGCTTCCCAGGAACCCACTGTGTACACCAAGGTAGTCTGGTTGCCATCTTACAGAGTTCTGTCTGCCTCTGTAGGCCTGTGCCGCCGTGCATGGCCTGGAAGGAGCTTTTAATGCTGGCATCCCTAAGAGCCTTATTTCCTTTTAAGCTGTAAGGTAAATATACTAGGTATTTCATTACTTTTGAAAAATATTGAGATAAGTAAAATTGTTTATTAGTGAGTTGTGGGGTGATTTTTATTTCTTTCACATATGTGCTTTGCTTTGGTTTTCGAGGCAGGGTTTCTCTATAGCTTTGGCTGTCCTGAAACTCACTCTGTAGGCTAGCCTCAAACTCGGAGAGCCACCTGTCTTTGCCTTCCTCATATATTTTCCAAAAGTCTATAATAAATACATATTAGCTTATAAAAAGAAAATAATAACCTTTAGAAATCTAGAAATTAAGTTTCATATCATATGCAGCCCTTTCTTTGTTGAAATCTATCTGGTGTTACATGAATTTTTTTTTTCTACATCAGACCTAGTGGAACCTAGGAATTTTGTGATGGTTGTCTGTGTCTTAACCAGAGAAGTGAGAGTCACCCTTGGTATAACCCTTCTGTGAGAAGTAGATACTCTCTTCCTGTGACTGTCATACTTGTAGGATATCTGGATATCACATCAGCCGTACAGCTTGTCACATGTGTTCTATTGTGGCCTGCCCACTGAAGTATAAACCTCCGGGGGAGCCACAAGTTTAAGTGAAAACTGCTGTTTATCATAAAATAGTTATTTCTTTAATTATATATTCTTCTTAATAATGCTTTCAGCAGAATAAAGACTTTGTCATTCAAGTCTGGCACATTATTGTAAGTTTAGTGGACACTTAATGCTTACATTTTTATGAAAAGTGATTTTTCCAGTCCACAAGCAGTTGTTATTTCTATATGCTTTATCTCCTGTGTTGTTATGAATGAGAAATCAGAAGAAATACCATGTAGAAGGGCTTTTACTAACTTTTACTATTTTCCAAGACTATAACAATGGTTTTTTCCCCTGAGTCATAGTTTTATGATCTTCAAACGGAGTTACCATAAGTTGCTTTGTATCATAAGAGTTTTTTGTTATTTGAAACCTTTAACAGAAACTAGAAAGATGTGTGAGAGGGGGTGGGAGCATGCTTGCTGCTGCCCTACCTGGTGTACAGCTTCAGAGGAGATGAAGGACTTTTGCACCAGTGGATTCCTCTGGTGATGAACCTTGTTGACTGTTATATCGTCGCCCAGTTATACATAAATGGAGTTGGGTGCCAGGAGGAGCTACTGGCAAATAGCAAGCCAGTTGCCAAATGTCATTTGAAAAGATAGAACAGAGACTGTTCCATACTTCTCTGTTTGTAGGTTCATGGTGTAAGGTTTCACAGATACCTTTCTTTCTGCGGTGGCTCCTTATGCCCTGTTTTAACTTTTGGCCACCTGATTTATTTTACTCAGAATACCTGGGCCGTTTCATCCATTACCTCCTAGACTTCTCTAGTAAACTCCAGACGTGCCTGACCCTGGACATTGAAGTGCTGTTTTCTTCCAACCATTCTCATTGCCTATATTTTCAATCTTGGGTCTAGGATTTTCTTAAACTACCTAAACCAGAATCAAGGGATTTGTTCTCAGGTCTGAGACCCAAGTCGTGTCCATTCTAATTCTAACGTGTTCTCACATCTTCCATATTTCACAGGTGTTAGAGCTTTAGAACAAAGTGCAGCAGAGCACGGGCAAAAGAGTGTTGTTGGAGATGGGCGTGTGACAAACCAGGCCATCTCGCCCAGCACACAGCAGTGGTTGACACTGGACCATTGTCAGTTCATTTATGTTTTATGGTGTTTTATGAATGACCATTACCCCTGGTATGTCAAGGTCTCTAACACCATGACTTGGAATAATAGTACTTGATTTTGGCAATGAACCTGATTATAGCAATAAAAACGGAGCTTTTTGAAGTGATGTTTCATCCAGGAGCTATGTGACCATGTACTCTATACCTGAATCTTTCTCCCCTACATACTGCTGCATTGCCAAGATTCCTCTCTCTGCTCAGTCTTTGTGCAGTGACCAGATTGTTGGAGGGTGTAAAGGTCACTACTTAAACTTCACTCTTAAGCTCTTCTCAGTGATTGGAACATAATTTTCTCTTCTGTCAAAGAGGAAATATATCAACCTACAGGCAGTTTCCTGGGAATCTTCCCCACTTCCAAGCAGAGGACAGGGTTCGTCACCATGGTGGGCAGAGAAGTGTCTGCTCTACCTTAGACCCCTCCACTCCTCAGCCTGGTCTATAGCCTGTGAAATGCTTTTGGTTCTGAAGGTGTTGTGTTGTTGCTGTCCACTTTTCTGACTACTTCAAGACTTCTCTGCTTTTGTGGTAATTTGAAGTTCTTTCTGCACCCTAATTGTTTCCGAATGCTGTTTTTCATTTGTGAGCCTGTGGTGACATATTGATAGTATTTAAAGATAAGAGCTATTCTGTTTTTATTTCTAATATTCAATGTATCAGTGTATAGCCCATGGCTTGGTAAATATTAAATAGTCACATGTTAAAAACCTACCAGATTAACTTGAACTTTTTACTTTTTTTCCTACATTTTATAGTAGAAAGAGTTCAATGCAGTTGGCATTCTCAGACTTTGCTAATGACTTTATAAATTAATAAAAAATGGTATTCAAAGGCAATGTGACAGTTTGTACCAAAATAAATGCATAAACACACCTTACTTTTTTCAGTAAGGGAATTTCACCTCTGGGAATTTAAGTAAAGTATAGTAGGAGAGAGACATTTATACCAAAACATTTCTATGTTATAGTAGCCATTTGGTCAGCAAACAACTGTAAGTCAAGTGTTAGCCAAGTGGCATGTTACACCACGTTAGAAAGCACAGCTCTAAAAGTTGTATCAACATTAGGAAATTGAGACAGCAGGAACAGCCAGGCAGCATCTGCAAATACCATGAACTGTTTTCTATGTGTCCAGAAGAAATAACCGAGGATATACATTATCATACTAACAATGAAATATTCAAGTTGTGGCTTAAAAATTTAACTGATGTGTTTGTTTCAGGGGGCGGGGGATGACATTTTTTCTAAAGTTTTATATAAATATTTACTTAGCACCTAAGTGGCAAGAATAAACAAATTGATCTACAGTTGTTTTCCCCCAAAGAGCTTTGAAGGTACAATCGTGTGGGAAAGCCAAGATCTCCATGGCCTCTTGTCCAGAAACCTACACAGAGTGACAGTGAATGACGGCGGGGGTGTTCTCAGAGTCATCACAGTAAGCTCTTTTCGTTTCTGTGGGTTGGTTAGAAATATTAACTGTCTTACATGCATGGAAAAGTTTGGGATTTACTTTTGTCGTAGGCAGTGTCATACAGGGGTTTTGAATATGCACAGTGGAAAGTGTTGCTGAGCCGCTGCACCACAGTGAGGGTAAAGAGCTTGAGTTCCATGTTCCTATAACTCCAATATAGATGAGTAATGTAGTTCTGCCGTGAGATTGGTGTTATATTTCTTTTTAGATTTTTAATGAGCATTCTTATAAACATTTGTTCATAGCTAAGTGTAGTAGTTTATACCTGTGTTCTCAGCACTCAGGAGGCTGACGCAGCAGGATTGCCCTGAACTTGAGACCAGCTAGCTACAGAGTAAGAAAGGAAGAAAAAAAACGCATCTTCCATAGTTGGTCATCTTACCTTGATAGCAAAATGTTAGTTAAAATACTATCTACCAAAATACTGAGCTGAGCACAGTGTCCTGTGCCTGGGGTCCCAGCTCCTTGTCAAGCTGAAACTTTAGCCCAGAGATCAGGGCCAGCCTGGGCACCATAGATATCATCATGCATCTTTAAAGTGAGGGAGGGAGAAAGTACTTGCATTTGTTTTATTTTGAAGCAACTCTGGGGTTTCTGAATCACATTTCTCCTTTAGTCAGATTTTCCTCAGATTTAAAGCAAATCCAAGTTAGGCAAATTTCTCAGACTTGGTGTAGTAAAGGTGTAGACAGACTTAGTGAGCACGAAGCCTGCTGTGGTGGTGCAGACAGCTGCACAGACCTGCTGGTACTTGTCTGATGACCAGGAAGACACTTGGCATTTCAATATTCAATAATCTCTTGAATATTAGCCCTGCTCGCTTGTAGTAATTTCTGGGATTTGAAATGAGTGTTGTGTGATTTATTACTTATTCAGAAAGCATTACTTGCACACCCACTGAAAAGAAGGCACAGTAATTTCATCACATCCATACTCAGGGAGAAAATAAGGACTGGCAGGGTACCTCAGAAGGTAAAGGCATGGGATGCCAAGCCTGCTGTCCTTGATTCAGCTGGCATACCTGTGTACATACACACCCACCAATAAATAAGTAAATGTAATTTTAAAATGTTTAAAAGAAAATATATAAAATAAATGGACCCACAAAGTTACATGTTATATACCCTCATCCTTGTAGGCCATGCACAGTATTTTATCCATTATTTATTTAAGATAGAGAATTTTATGAAAGGAATCATAACTTATTATTTTCAGGACAAATGCCTTAAATATCATGCCACCTTCCATTTGTGAAACCTAGAAATATCTAAGCTACACCAAAATTCCATAGACTTTGATTTGTTATACTAAGAAAATAAGTTTCCTTCTGAGTTGAAGATTGAGCTTAAATATAAAGACAAATGATCCACGTGGCCTTGCCCAGCTGATAAAGATGGTAGTTTAAAGCTTTTCTCTGCATGGTCCTGAATTCTCAAGTGCACTAAGATCTTAGCAGATTCATGAGAATTTTTGTAAAATAGTAATAATTCTTTAATGTTTTTAAAGTGATAAAATTAGATGTAAACTAAGTTGAGTTTTGTACTGTTGTGGTTGTGTGTATAAGAACATTTATTTGTCTTTACATTGGAATTTTGAGCACTGGGCCAGAGTCATCCTGATGCTTTAAATCCATGGCATAAGGGACTGGAGGTGGTTTTGTGGTTAAGAGTGCTGGCTGCTTATCTTCATTATTTTTTTTGTTGCCGTGATAAAGCAAGACCAAGACGTCTTATAAAAGGAAGTGTTTAATTTGGGGTTCATGATTCCAAGTGGTCAGAGTCCATGACCACCATGGTGTGGAGCCTAGCAACAGGCTGGTTTGGTGCTGAAACAGTAGTTGAGAGCTTGCATTTTGATCCATAAGCTCGAGGCAGAGAGCTAACTGGGAATGACTTTGAAATCTCAAAGCCCACCCTAGTAACACACCTCCTACCTAACCCTTTCCAAACAGTCCCCCCAACTGAGTGCCAAATATTCAAATATATGAGCCTATGAGTGGGGGATGCATTCTTATTCAGTCCACCACACTACTCTTTCAGAGAACCTATGCTGGGTTCCACTGCCCTCATAGTGCCTCTAGCCTCATGGTGTGACACTTTCCTCTGACCTCCTAAGGCACTCACTTTATACAGGTTCAGGTGTTGAACATGCAAAGTATCTATGCACATAAAGTAAGAATAGGGAAATAAAGTAGGCCAGGTGATGGTGGTGTCCACCTTTGATCTCAGCACTCAGGAGGCAGAGGCAGGCAGATCTCTGTGAGTTTGAGGACAGCCATAGCTGAGGGAGGGAGGGAGAGAAAGAGGGAGGAAGGGAGGGAAAGGAATAAGTAAAGTAAATAAAAATCCATAGCATCATTATCTGCTGTAGGGCAAGCATCCTGGCCGTTCAGCTCTGCGTTGTAATACATTAATTGTTAGTCATGAAATGCTGGAACACTTCTGTTCTCATTCCTTTCAGGCTGGGGAAGGGACATTGCCTCATGAATTCATGGAAGGTGTGGAGGGAGTTGCAGGTGGCTTTATCTACACTGTTCAGGGTAAGTTGGCTAGTGCAAAAGCAAACTCAGTGTAGCTACCTTTGTTTTATAATACACTATGAAAGGTCATCTTTTCAAGTTAAAAATTCCTTATCAATCTGGGTACAAAGTTTTACGCCTGAAATGCTGACACTTAAGAGACTGCAGAAAAATTATGACTTCAAAAGCCATCCTGGGTTATGTGGCAATACCCCGTCTCCAAAGCAAAGTCCAGATGCTTACTTTTTAAGGTATTGTATTATTATGCAAGTAAAGCATAGTTGGGCTCTTGTTGGTTCTACTTGTATTGTTTCCCAGCATAGCAAACAGTGCTGCAGAGAACATTGTGGTGCCTATGTAGGACGTAGTATCTCTGATGTCCTATCACAAGTAGGCCTAACTGAGCTATAATTCTGCCCCATATGAAGAGCCAAATGAGCGGTGTTCCACCGCATCCTTGGGGAAGGAATTCTGGTAACATTTTCAAGTTCTGGGTCCTGAGCATGCAGTAGTGTTTCTCCAGCACAGCCTTTCCTTTTCAGAAGGAGATGCACTGTTACGAAGCCTTCACTCACGGCCCCAGAGGCTCTCAAACCATATACAGGATCTACAAGTGGAAGATGCCTTACTGCAGGAGGAGAGCAGCATCTATGACGACATTGTCTTCGTGGATGTTGTGGATACTTACCGAAATGTTCCTGCAAAATTACTGAACTTCTACAGATGGTAGGTTGTGTGGCTGTTGGGTAGCTAAAATTTGCTTTGTTGTTATTTTGATATAGAAACATCAAACCACTGAGATTTCAAAATTTAAAAGATTTCATTATCTGGGGTGTGATCTGTTATATCACAATCCTTTAAAATCGATTTCTTTTTAATCTTAAGGTTTTTAAAAAATTACTCATGTGTATGTGTCTCTGTGTGTGCCTTGTGTGTGTAGGTGCCTTTGCAGGCCAGAAGGCATCAGATCTCTGAAACTGGGGTTACAAGCCATTCTGAGCTGCCCTACATGGGTACCAGGAACCAAATGGGTGGGACATCTGGAAGAGCAGTACTTAGTCCTGACTGCTAAGCCAACTCTTCAGCACGTCTTGTCTCCTTTTTAAGACATCTTCTAATGTGCTATTGCTTTCTTACTTGGATGAACAGAACCACAGTGTGAATGGCATTAAGTGTTCAAAACCAACAAAACAAAAATTAATTCCCTTAGAGTCATTCCTACACACTTTGGATGTCTCAATCTTGCACTGGATTGTGGTTCTGTGTGTGCAGGATAAGACACTGCAGATGTATACAGCTGCAAAGGCATAGTATGTGTCCTTCCGGGGTGGTGCTTACTTGCATATTCTTTTTTTTTTTTTTTCCCCCACAGGACTGTGGAAACCACCAGCTTTGGTTTGCTGCTGAAGACAGATGATGACTGTTACATAGACTTAGAAGCTGTGTTTAATAGAATTGCTCAGAAGAATCTAAATGGGCCTAATTTTTGGTGGGGAAAGTAAGTGAAACATGGACAGAAGTATACCTAAGTGTAATTAAATTAGGATGAAATATGCACATTATTTTTCCACAAGAAAAATGTTATAAAATTTTTTACTAGTTAAACTATTTTGGATTAGTTTGCTGTCGCTATAACCAGAGGTAATTATTTTTTCTATTGAAAAATCTCAGTTGGGCGGTAGTGGCACATGCCTTTAATCCCAGCACTCGGGAGACAGAGGCAGGCAGATCTTTGTGAGTTGGAGGCTAGCCTGGTCTACGAGAGCTAGTTCCAGACAGCTAGGCTGTTACACAGAGAAACCCTGTCTCGAAAAACCAAAAAAAAAAACAACAAAAAACCTCAGGCTTATTAGCCAAGAGTCAAAGACGTGCTTTTAGAAGGGCTTGGTGCCCTGAAGCTGAGGTATGTTTTTTGTTAGGCCGTGTATGACACATCTCCGTAGCCATTGTTTTTGCTATTTCAGGAACACTGCAGGGTTAGTAATTTGGTGGGTTTGGTTGCATTTGAATATGTACTGAAATACAGGGTGAGCTTCTCTTCGCTTTCATTAAGAAACTGAGAGCTTACCTAACTAATCTATATAAAATACCATTGAGTAAATAATTCCTTTCCTTAGATGCAAGAATTTTCCCCTGCTCTACAAGCTTGTCCCTTTGTAGTGGTCAAAGGAATCTAGAAGAAGGATGTGGCCAACCATCACCTTTGTAACATCTCAGTTTCAGGTTGAACTGGGCAGTGGACAGAACTGGGAAGTGGCAGGAGCTAGAATACCCCAGCCCAGCCTACCCTGCTTTTGCATGTGGGTCAGGGTACGTGATCTCCAAGGATATCGTTGACTGGCTGGCAGGCAACTCTGGAAGGTTAAAAACCTATCAGGTAATAAGATCACTCATCCAGTCCAATGTCCTGAGATGTCCTTGCAGAGCCAGCTTACCATGGTTGTTCTTTCTCTGCAGGAATCACTCCTTAAAGGTCAGGGATGTGTTCCTGCCATCTATCAGACTCTAGCCATGATGTCTATATCTTATTTGAACCTGTTTTTCACAGCTTTTAGTCTTCATTTGCAAAGTGGAGGAATGTAAATACTTCTGCTAAAAGAAGCTGCTAAAGAAGTGCTTTTTTCCTTCTGACTTGGTTATAGTGTTAGGACCAAGTGTCCCTACCCATGAGATCCACATTACCCTTTAGGCTTATTAGTTCACTGTGTATCCTGTATCCCATCTCTAGCTTGCTCTTGTACATACAGCTTTGTCTTTAAAACATTAAAAAATTTCCATTTGACCACGAGTAGGGTGAAGATGTCAGCATGGGCATTTGGATGGCAGCCATAGGACCTAAAAGACACCAGGTAAGCAAGTATGAGGGTGCTGGCTTCACTTCAAAGCTTTTGGAGGTGTGCAACTGAACTTACATCTAACCCTAGGCATAAGAATCAGTGCCTTCTGGCATCCCAGCTATGCTCTTAAGTTACAACACTCTACCTCATTATTCCTCAAATAATTATCTAAGTTTAAACCAAAAGGAAATGCTGTGAATGGAAATTCCTTATCCACAAAAAAGAATTAGGTCTTTAGATCTGATCAGAAATTCCCTATAGTTTTACAGTTTAGAATCTATTGACTTGAGTTTCTGGCCCATGACAGTGAGACCTCTCAACTCCTGACAACAGACTTTAATAGTATTTTATTTGTAAGGGAGTGTGGGATGGGGTGGTGATGGTGGTGCAGAGAACAAAACTGAAGGTAGGAAACTTGGGGTGGAAAGGACAGGCTTTTGCCTTATTTATTGTACCGACTTCTGGATTCCTGCACCCTCTACTCTGGCTGTAGAAGGTACAGTGAACAGGACACGCAGTACCTGCCATTCAGAGTCGGAACACTTCTCACTCACACAGGAGTACATACCCATTCAGCTCAGCCTGTGTCCTGCTGCTGCATCAGACTCAGCACATCAAAGGCTGCTTGTGGAGCTTGTTGATGTGCCGATCCTTTTTTGTGACCTTGGCCTGTAAGAGTCATACAGAGGATATGCACTTTGCCCTGCCCAATGGGGCACTAGCATTTTTAAACACTTCACATTGCTGCCTTGGGCCTTCTGGAGCTGAAGAGCCTCTTGGACAGAAAGCTTTGTTCTCTTCCATGTACTCAAGGCATAAGGTCCACTCTGCTGCCACTGGTGAACCCCTCATTCTAGATGTTTTTGAGAGAGAGGGATTACCGGATTCCAGACACATGCTAGTTCCAGCAGCCTCTACGCCCATTAGAATTATCACGGTTTAAAAAGTTTCAGGTTTGAGCCAGGCAGTGGTGGCGCACGCCTTTAATCCCAGCACTCGGGAGGCAGAGGCGGATCCCTGTGAGTTCGAGGCCAGCCTGGTCTACAAGAGCTATTTCCAGGACAAGCTCCAAAACTACAGAGAAACCCTGTCTCGAAAAACCAAAAAAAAAAAAAAAAAGTTTCAGATTTTAGCCAGGATTTGTGTTGTCAGATTCCACATTTCTTCATATATGTGTGTTACTTGCTGAGCAGTGTGGTACCTGGGACTCAGGTTAGGAGTCTTGGACAGCCTGTTCTTACAGCATAGCGACAGGAAGAATAATTTTGCTGTCATAGCATTTGATACTGAAATGAGGTGATTTACAGAGTTGCAAGCATCCTATTAGAACGGCTGCCACTGCTTTATGACCTCTCTCTAAAAGGGAATATGAAAGTGTTCATCTGTACTCTCTGTATGTTTTATAGAATTTCATGTACTGACTCTTCTGAGAATCTTAATGTAGTTATTTTAATTGACAATATAACGACTGTGCATATTTATAGGTTAGTTTGGCATTTGGTGACTCTTTAATCTTCACACTGTAGTTTCTGTGTTCATAGCCTCAGGACTATAAGGCTGCGGTACTTTCCCAAAATCAGGATCCATCCCACCCCCAAATCTCATGAGTACATTGAAGTGTCACACATCTCGTTTCCTGATTCTGTCTTGTATTTTGTTCCTCAACAGGACAGCCTGTGGCTGTGTGAGAAAACCTGTGAGACAGGAATGCTGTCTTCTCCTCAGTATTCACCACAAGAGCTGAGCAGACTGTGGGAACTGAAGGAAATGTGTGGGGATCCTTGTCAGTGTGAAGCAAAAGTACAGTGATCCCCAAAGACTGTAAGTCTGAGGAGACCCTGTGGCTGGTATTGAGCTATAAGTAGTATGATATTACCAGTGTTTGCACAGATCTTAATGAATCATCTGATATTGTAGCATAGTTTTTATTTATAAATTGGAAGATTATTTAATACCCAATTATTTTATAAAAAATATTCATAACTCCTAATCACTGTTACTAAGCAGTAATTATTTTATCATTACCATTTTTGGCTAAATTCAGAAAGTTGTAATAATGCCATTTGAATCTCAATCATGATTATAAAATAGCTCTGCAGCTCAATTAGGCCAGTAAGAACGTACAAAGATGCTGTGTGGTCCTGGGGCCACATATACCAAAGTTCGGATTGCTGAAAATACCAGTTTGCAGATCTCTGACGTGGGCAAACTGGCCTTGAAAAGGAAACACTGTAACCTGAAGTTTGGGGTCTTGCTTTTAAAAATGTTCATTTACATATGTATCATGTTTTCTCTTACCATTTAATGTATATCCTGAATGTCTCACCTTGGCACTCTCACTAAACTGTTTGAGTGTGATAAAAGTAAACACCTCAGGGTTCAATGTCACAGGGAAGTAGGGAAGGCTCTCTGCCTTGCCTGATGTTTACCTAAGCTTGAGAAGGTAGTAATCTGTGGAAGACAGGTTCTGTGTAGAGAATTTGTAGAGAAAAGTAGGTTGTACAGAGTAGGAGATGTGTTTCCTCAGTTTAAAGGACATTTTTCGAACGACCAACCAAATCACTGTAGTAAACTTTTTCAAATAGTTAAGCAGCTCACAGCAAATGTTAACTATTCAGATTTAGACTACTGTTTCTGTTTATATTTACATCTCCACATGGTGGAATACAGTAAGCTGTGGAAACAGAAGGAGTAGAAAAAATCACTAGTAATCAAAGCCTTTATTATTCTATATATAACCAAATGGTCCTTTCCCAACAAAACATACATCCTTTATAAGGGTGAAGTTTTTGTTTCTGGTATATACAACATTCCAGCCGCTAAACTCTTACGGCTGGATTGTTACCATCGCACTAGTAGACAGTCTCCATTCTCCACAGAATAAAACTGTAATGACTGTAGGTCATCTCCTAGTTCAATTTCTCTGCCCGGCATCTAAAATGAGAACAAAGTGGGGAAGAATGAGTAGACAGATCTGACGATGCATGTTATACATGCCGCCCTCCAATGGCAGCTAGCTCGAGGAGTCAACATGCTGCCTCCATTTAAAATCTGTTACATATGGCTCATGGTACTGTGGAGAACTAAGCTTAGCAACTTACCTTGGGGCTTTCATAGGACAGCAGAAGTTCTGACACAGGAACTTTGAGAAGACGTGACAGCAGTCCCTTTACCTTTTGAATTGTCATGGAATCTGTCCAAGAAAAGGAAAATCCATTTCTCTCAAATGATGACTGTGTACAACCAGCTCAGCCATGGCCTGTCCTTTCTTAGCATCAGTTCACTACGTGACAAAGGCTTAGTCATTCAGCCAGTTGATTTCTTTGGCAAACTGGGATATGGAGCCAGTGTTTGACTCAAGTGGTCTTGAAGGCAAAATGTCATAGCATTTACCATTTCTTCCTCAATCTGAGTAACCAGAAATAATCACCTCACTGAGGAGGAAAAATATAGGCCTTTGTGATAACTTCCTAAAGGGTTGCTGAAGATCCCATGAGTGGGGCCTTGAGGACATCTCTCAGCCTTATTTTCCCTCTAGAAGAGAGCATAGACTTCAGTGGTTGATGAGGTCCCTCCCAGCATGAGCATCTGGTCACCATCAGGATGTGCACAATGACTACCAGGTGTGAGAAGATAACTTAGCAAAACAAATGCTATGGTCTGTTCAGAACACTAGGAACTTCTTTCCAAAGACAGTGGATATTTTGATGAAGAATATTAGTTTCTCTGAAGCTTTAGCTGAAAGTACAGCAATAGTGTGGTGTCCTATAAATATCACAATGTAGTCAATTATTTTTCTATAAAAATCATTTTTTAAAAAAGCTGTGTTTTTATGCAACTTGTGATAATAAATCTTCTCTATTTTAGAATAAAACTAGTCTTTTCCTGTTTGTGATCCCCTTCAACAGTCATACTACCCTGAGTGTGCCTGATTAAAACTGCTGTGTCTAGAGAGGAGTAGGCTGGGTCCCAGACTGAATAAGGAGAAGAAGGGGAGAAAGCAGACCGAGCTATCAGCATAGCTTTGCATCCATAGTAAGAACATAATGTGACTACTGCCACATTCCCACCAGTGCCTTTCCTGCCACAAACAGCATAACCATCCTTACATTGCTTAGGTTGAGTAACAAGAAGTTAACACACAGTTAATTTGTCTTTATATATTACATACCAGTCACAGAAATTGAACTGCTAATTTAAAAAAAAGAGAGAGAGAGAGAGAGAAATTTGGCCCTAAATGGATAGTAGTTCAGGAAAGTACTTTTCTGAGTGCAACTAGCCTTCCACAAGCGTTATCACGGGCAAGCTTATTTTGTCTGATAAATATGGAGATAAAATCAATGAATCTACTGCACTGGTAGGCAAATAGGGAAATATATTTACTGGAGTCAGACAGACTCATATGTTTCCATTTCTTCAATTGCTCCTGGCTTTAAATCTAACCCACCAGCATTTAGCTGTGACTCAAGTTTATCTTGAGAATTCATATAGTGTCATGCTAAAAAATTGATTCTTCTAAGTGCGAGTCTAAGGTCAGTTGTATTATCCAGAAGAATTTATGATTCTAATATTAAGTCAGTTCCAGTAGTACAAATGTTTTTTAAAGAATTCTGAAAAAAAAATTTCTCCCCAAGTTGTTTAAAAGCACTAACTTCTCTCCTGATCAGGAAGTCATCTCTAGACAAGAAATGTGGAAAGAATCAATATGGAAACTTAAATACATGGGCATGGGAAGTATTCCTTTGAGGGGCTAAGCATTCCAGTCCTCACACCTGTGGCTGGACACTATCACAGGGCACAGGTGTAGTGACAAATGCCTTTTACCCAAGCACTTGGGAGGCAGGTATCTGAGTTCAAGGTCAGTCAGAATAACAGTAAGACCCTGTCTCAAAACAAAAACCCCACAAATTTTAATAAAACTATTTCCAGATAAGCTGAAAGTTTTAGATTAAGCACTAATGAAGGTCTACATAAACCAAAAGTTAACATTCCACCTAGCTCTACCCTAAGCCAGTGCTTCACAGGTACTTGGACAGCAGAGAAGGGCAAGCTCTTACCTGGCAACTGCTTTTCTAATACTTTCTGTTCAAGTTTGTCTGAGCATTTTATCTTCAATGCTTTAAAGAAAGAGGTAAAAAGTTAATAACCACCATAGCAGGGATTTACAGTGTGCATGCATGTAGAACTGTGATGCAAAATTAATAAAAACTCAGAGAGAAACTGGGGTTCAACATGAAGGTCAGAAAAGCAAAGCAGCCCAGCCACTGGCCTTACCTCTAACTCAGTTCAAAATGGCGATCCTGCCTCCAGGAATCTCAGAATGAGACTGAGAGCTATTTCCTCCCATTTTATAATCCTTTCTAAGGCTGGTATTAAAGGCATTCACTGCCCAGTTTCTATGGCAACTAGTGTGGCTACTGGGATTAGAGATGTGTGTTACCACTGCCTGGTCTGTAAGGCTGACCAGTGGGGCTGCTTTACAGGCAAGCTTTATTTATTAAAATACAAATGAAATGTCACTAGAACTGGATTGTGCCTCTGAAGTAGAGCGCATACTTTGTATACACAAGACCTCAGTTTCATTACTAGCACCAATAAGTAAAATCGTGCAGCCCAAGAGATTGCCATCAGTTTGGCACAGCTTGGCACACCCATGAAGCTAGGGAGTGGTGGTGCACACCTGGCTATAATCCCACTTTGAAAGGCTTTTGGTAGGCTTGTCACAAATTCAAGTCCAGTCTATACAATACATGCCAGCTATGAGACTTTGTCTCAAAACAAAAAGTCAAAAAGATATTGTCATGGTCTCAGAACTGGGGAGCTATCAAGGAGGATGAGTGCAAGGCAGCCTGAGTTTATATACCAGGATCATGTCTCAAACAGCTGACCCAGAATTCTATCACCTTTTCTTTCCCTTCACACCACTTCCTGACAGTTCAGCGAGGGTTCTGCATGTAGGACACAGTGCAGGGTTCGACATTACAGTGTGATTTACTACTCTACTCTCCCTTACACCTAGAAGACTATTTCAGGCTGAAGCAGGGGGCTATCAGAATGCCCAACACAAACTGAATGAGTTTGGGATCATTACTCCCTAAGACAGTGGTTCTCAATTTTGTGTGTGTGTGTGTGTGTGTGTGTGTGTGTGTGTGTGTGTGTGTGTGTTGTCTTGAACCCTTTCACTAGGGGTTGCCTAAAACCATTAGAAAACAGGTATTAACATTATGATTGATTCATAACAGTAGCAAAATTACAATTATGAAGTAGCAGTGAAAATAATTTTATGGTTCGGGGATCACCACAGCATGGAAAACTGTATTAAAGGGTTGCAGCATTATGAAAGTTGAAAGCCACTGACCTAGGAGAAACACACTTCATCTCTTATCAAGCAAGCCATCACCATTTGCTGACACCCAAGACCCCAGAACAAAGCAGGTATGTGAAAGGATTCTTACTTAGCAGCTGATTTTTGAGCATGAATGGCTGCTGTGTTTTGAGTTCCTCATCTTCAAGTGCACCATATTCTGTTTGTTTAAGAAGAAATAGAAAGGGATGAACGATTAGCTAAAGGCCACAGTAAGGAAACTAAGTTAGTGTGAACAGAGCCTCTCCCAGAATCTACCCAACATCACTGATCAATTAGTTTGGGATTAGCCTCCTCCTGCAGAGCTGCTTGTTGGGTGGTTAGGAGCCATTCCTGCCAGGCGCTAGTGGCACACACCTTTAATCCCAGTACCCGGGAGGCAGAGGCAGGCAGATCTCTGCAAGTTGAGCCCAGCTTGGTCTACAAGAGCTGGTTCCAGGACAGGCCCCAAAGCTACAGAGAAACACGCACACACATACACACACCACAATAGCCATTCCCAAAGAAGATCATCTCTGTGGTTGTATGTTCCATGTTTGTTCTAATAATAGTCTGACTAAGCTTCCCATGGTTTCAAAACCTTTGAACTTTTAACTTGGTTTCAGTTTTGAAAACACCCTTTCATTCAGGGTCCTGAGAAAAACTAGGTATTATCTGGAAAGAAGTCATAGAACCCCATCTGGTTTTAGCCAGTCAAGAGTTTAGTGTCCTACTACAGACCAGTTCCTGCACCTGCAACACAGGCAGTAGCTTTCCTAATCTGTGGGGACACATCCTAGGACCTCAGTGGATATCTGAACCTGAGTAGCATTAGATAGATCTCATTTAAATGTCTTTAAGTAACACATAACCTACGATTATAAATTAGACACCGTAGGATGCTAACAACCACACCAGTGAGCTGTGATGAACCTGCGCTTTCAAAACATCTTTCTGTACTTTCAAGCTTCAGTAAGTCCATTTCTCAGTTTCTCTTTGTATTTTAAGGATCATGTCATGGGGTTAAGGGTATTTTCAAGTCAGAACACTTGTCACAAGCACTGACACCTTAGTGGTCTATATGCTGAGCCACCGAATGACTCAGGGCAGGCAACACATATGGCATGGAATGCTAGGCAGAGGCAGTCATGTACACCACACCGCTTAGAATAGTATGCAATTAAAACTGAATGTTTGGTTTCTGGAATTCTCTATTATGTTTGTGCTGAGGCTGGACTAAAAGTGGAACTACAGAAAGGCTGAACTATCCTTCCCTGCTGCCTTTGGTCAAGTGGTTTGGGTTTCTCTGCAGTAAGAATCTGAACTATATGCACCTGCATGCTGCTTAGAGTCTTCCCTTCCCTACCCTCAAGTGACTCAGAATTTACCTAGAGCAGCCAGGAAATTGGGCCAGCTAATGGAGTAATTTGAAAGCAATTCCCCTGGGCAGCTTGTCTTCCTGAGATAACGTTCCAGCTGAAGCATTTATGCAGTGAGCTGCTTGCATTGGAAATATATGAAAAGAAAAATGGCCTAAAAGTTAACCATGGGATGGTGAAATGATGAAATCAAAACAAAGTGAAAAGTACATTGGGACGTAATGCCCAGTCCTTTGCTTCAAAGCCTGAGGTCCAGCTAGCGTGCTAAAGAAACCATTGTGAACACTAAGTGCCAAACAACACAGGACAAGACCTAAGGGTGGGACATGGAAAGAACAAAAGTTTATGTGTGAACTTGCCGTGCTGGGAGCATTAAAAACACCAGCACTTGAGATGACCTGGAGAACTGCCAACCTTCCCAAGGAGCTACCACCACTGCAGGAACACAGGTTGACACTGCCAATGTACTGTCTGTTTTCAACTCGCTGACATGGTGCCAGGAAAGTGCCCACAGTTCCTTCAAAAGGGAAACAGATAGCCCCCAAAGCATAAAAGACAAAGCACTGAGCCTTCCTGAACTACCACATCAGGGCCCTGTTCCAGCTGAAGTCCCCACGGGCTACCTGGACGTACTGCTGCAGAGAAGCTGGTATCTAGGATGGGCCAAAAGAAACTCTTCATTTGGCCTGTTTTTGTCTGGATCCGTATGTCCCCCAGCCCTTTTCCATTCATTTCCAAAGGCTTTTTGGTAATCAAGCTCAGCTCCACGCCTTTCATCTGGAAGAATCTGTGTTGATGTGAAATAGAAATGTGTCATCTTCCAGTGAGCTGCTCATGTATTTACCCAGTCTTCCCTCTGGTGCTCAAGCACAGACAATAAAACTGTTGCCATCTACACTGAAGTAAGTCCCCACACACCCCTGCACCTTTCTTTTCTAACACAACTCACAAATTTATTGAAGAATTCCAAACTGGAGATGGATTATCTGCCAGTAATCCTAGCACTTAAAGAGAGCTGATGCAGAACTGCATGGAGTTCAAAGTCAGTGTGAGCTAGAGACTCTTGTCTCAAAACTAAAATTCAAAGTAAATTTTAATTTAAGAAAGATTAGTCATTATATAACCCTGAAAACTCATTTATATCCCCAAGAACTTGCACATTCTTCTACAGAACAGCAAGATGACTTAGCAGTTGAAACACTTGCCTTGAAGCCTAATGACCCTCGTTCACTCCCTGAGAGCCATATGGTGGGAGGTGAAAACAAACTTCTGCCAAGTTGTCTTCTGGTCTTCATATGCACACTAGTATGCATGACCCTTTTCCTCCAAACAAGTAAATGTAATTTGATTCTTTAAATTCTAAAGTTTTTTAATTTTCTTTTTAAAAAGATTAACTTTGGATTTTTGTTGCATTTATGTATTGCACCAACATGCTTGTGTTGTCTGAGGAGGCCAGAAGAGAGCACCCCATCCCTGGGAACTAGAGTTACAGATGCTGTGGATCACTGTGTGGGTTCTCTGCAAGAGCAACAAATGCTCTTAACCACTGAGCCATCTCTCCAGTATTCCACCCCCCATCTATAATTTTCATCATGTTAATATTTGCAGGTGCCTGGGTTCGCCCCCCTTGTATGTGTTATAACAGCTGACTTCCTTTAGGAAACTTCAGAGTGTGCCTAAGCCTCACAGCCTCACTCTTGGGAGCAACAAGGAGAGAAGAGACGTAGGTGCTCTAAGCCTGTGTTCTTTCTGCTTTCTTTCCAAGGATACAAGATAAAGTGCCTAACACTACCCCACCATACCTTAAATGACCACTGTTGTTCAGGCAGCAAAGTAACAATGATTTGTCACTGACGTAAATATAACCTTTTTCCCTCCAAGGACTTGGCAGAGGATCCCAATAAACAAAACCCATCTGGTCATCACTTGTAATATCCAAATGTAATTTACTGTTACAGTTTTTATTACTTGTTTTCTAGTCTTAAAAAAAAAAAAACACTTAAAACCTAGTGCCATGGTACACCTGTAGTCGTAGCTACTCTAATGGCCAAAGCAGAAAGGATGCTGAGTTCACAAGTTGAGGTCAGTAGAAGCAACAATGAGACCTTCTCTCCAGGAAGAAACCAAAGGGCGTGGTTAGGGTCCTAGTGCTTACCTCACTTCTGTTCAGGGTCTTCAGCTGACCAATCTTGGCAATGATGATTTCCTTTGCTTTGTTTCCTTCAGTCAAGGGGTTTCTAGTACAGGACAACGCCTGTAGGCTCTGTAATTTATCTAGCTCATTGATAAATGACCACTGAAGCAACGAAAGGGAAAATGAAAAGCAACATGTGTCAGAACACATTTCAGATTACTTGGCCTAGCTCATAAAAGTAAAATTGCCTTCCATCTGAGGTACCAGGTGCACTGGACACCAACACCACCCATGTGAACTTGGTGCTGTTCTACATCTGTGTAAATAAAAGAACTCTAACCCTGAAAAGTTTCACTTTGAGGAAGCATTATGCTTTTGTTTTAATGTTTTTTTTTTTAAGATTTATTTTATGTGTATGGATGTTCTGTCTGCATGCCTGTCTGTGCACGTGTGTGCAGTGAGCAAGGAGACCAGAGGAGGGCATTGGATCTCCTGGAACTGGAGTTACAAACGGTTGTGAGTAGCCACCTGTCTTTTGGGAACTGAACCTGAGTCTGCTGCAAGGGCAGCCAGTGCTCTTAACCACTGAAAGCCATCTCTCGAAGCCCCTAGTTTAACTTTTTTGACAGAAGAAACCTTCAAACTTCGTGTGCAAGCGGAGACAAGCAGTATCGTGTTCTGCACACTGAGGCAGTTCTTACGTCTGATATTTTGTTGTCATTGACTACGAGGTACTGCAAGGACGGGAACATGGATGTTTTGCACCCTAGAACAATAAAAATGAAACTGCACAGTAGGAATGAGAGAAATAGCTAACATAGGAAGGGAGAATAAATAAATAAATAAATAATAAATAAATAAGTAGTCTATTTACCAATTCCAGCATCCGGAAAATGTATAGAAGAAAGTCCAGTGTCGGAAATGAGTAGGTGTTCTAATCTGAAATTAAAATGTTACATTTGATTACACAGGACACTGAAGAGTTCTGGGGTATCTACTAGACTAGCAAGTCTTTTCCTCCACCTTAGATTTCCATCCTATTATGAAACAAAAGGTCCAGAAGGAAGGCTGACACTATGATTTGTTCTTCCACATGCCCCTCTAAGATTATGTTCTGTCAGGGGCTAAGTGGGTCTCAAAAGAGGTAGATGGGGGTCTCATTTCCCCAAGGTTAACAAATGGAGATGTAGGTGTCATCATCAGGACCAAGTCTGCAACTACAAATTATCTAGTACCTAGATGCACATAGCACATGAGGGACAAGTACATTCTCCAGATGAGGAGTTCAAGTTGAAATTTCCCAAGGGACTTGCCCAGTTTAGGAACTATAATTTGTATCTATTCAAAAGGTGCATTTAACATATGACAGTTCATTCACTAAAATGATAAGGATCAACTGGTGGTGGCGGCACACGCCTTTAATCCCAGCACTCAGGAAGCAGAGGCAGGTGGTCCTCTGAGTTTAAGGCCAGTTTGGGCTACAAAGTGAATTCCAGGACAACCAGAGCTGTTACACAGAGAAACCTTGAAAAACAAAACAACAAAAAAAGAAAATGATATGAACTTTAACAGGCAAATGTAGGTGGAGGCTGCTCGTTCATTCCCAGCTGCCCAGACATGAAATAATCACACAGAAACTATATTATTTGCAATACTATTTGGCCAATAACCTAAGCATATTGCTAGCTAGCTCTTATATCTTAACCCATTTCTATTAATTTGTGTATCACCACGTGGTTGTGGCCTGCCAGTAAGGTTCCATCTGGTGTCTGTCTCCTGCAGTAGCTACATAGCTTCTCCCTGATTCCTCCTACCTCTCCTCTGTCTGCTTGGAATTCCCGCCTTGCCCTATTCTGCTAAGCCACTAGCCAAAACGGCTGTATTCATTAACCAATAAAAGCAACACATAGACAAATTTTAAGGGATTACCTGGGAAGATATGCTATGAGGCACAGCTGGCTTTCATCAATGCCTGGGTTAGAGGAAAGGTCTAGTAACCTCATCTTCTGCAGGACGTCTACTGGCCTGTATGGAAAGTACAATTTTCTCAATATGGACTAATCTCTTTTGTTTTCAAAGTCAGATGCTTAAAATAAATGTATCAGGTATAACAAAGGGTTAGGGAGGAAGGCAGATGGATTTGCCCCCACTGCCCCCCCCAAAATGGGATGCTGTGTTGAAATGCTGGCAAAGTCTGGGTCCTTATCCTGCCTTTGATAAAGAAAGAAAAATGCCTCCACTTGCCTCCATAAATGAAACCATTCTATACAACAGTCTTTAGAGTCTGAACCAACTGAAAAATTTCCCATCCTTAACTTTCTTTCCCATAGTTATTTAATGATATTGTCTAAAAAGGGAGATGATGAGCCAGATGGCTCTGTTGGTAAAGCCATTGCTACACTCTAGTACAATAGCAGATATTACCAATTAAAGATCCTTTATTTGCTAGACACAGCTGTCCTCACCTGCTTTGCCAACACGCGGGTGGTGAAGGCAAAGCTGAAGGCCATACTTGGCACAGAACTAGCTTGAGGCCAACTTGGCCTTTGCCTCAAAACAAATAGGACTAACAAGATGGCTCAGTGAATAACAGTGCTTGCTTCACAAGTCTGGAAACTTGAATTCAATTCTTGGAGCCCACAGTGGAAAGACAGAACCCCAAAGGTTGTCCTTCACCCACACACCCTTGAATTCACACATAAAACATCACATACACATATACATATATACATACACAATAATAAATTAAGAAAAAAAATCATCATTTATTTACTTTAAAATTTTTGCAATACTAAAAAATGAATTCAGTCGCTAAAGGGATGGTTCAGTGGTTCAGAGCATTGGCTGGTCTTCCAGAAAATTGAGATTTAATCCCCAGCACCCATATGGCACCTTACACCCTTTTACTTCAGTCCTAGAGGACCAGCTATCCTCTTCTGGCCTCCTTGAGCACTGTACACATGTGGTACATAGATACACATTCAGGCAAACACTCATACAACACATAAACAGTGTGTCTTAAATTTTTAAATAAAAATTAACCTAGGGCTTTGCACATAGTAGGCAAATGCTCTATCATTAAATTACATCCCTCAGCCCTTGGTTTTTATGAGATAGGGTCTTGCTAAGTTGCATAAGATGGCCCTGTCCCCACCCCCAAAAAATAAGGAAAAAAAGCGCCTGTACTCCAACGAGAATCAGAGAATCCAATACATGTAAGGAAAGGAAGTAAATTCTAATACTTAAGTTTGGTTGTCTATGAGAATCTAAAATATTTATACAAAGCTAATAAAAATCAAATATTTAATCAAATATTTAATTCAGATGTCTTTGATTTGGTTTGAATAATATCTCAGTTGACAATCTAATCTGTAACACAATGAGTAAGGAATAAGTACTACTATAATTCATGCTTGCAAACCCTCATAAAAGTTAATTCTCAACCTGAGCTTTTATTCAGAATAACCGAATGGCAACAGAATCACTGAAGCCAAGCCCATTACCTTTCTGAAATGGAAATACTGTTAGACTTGAGGTAGAGTTCCTCGAGGACTGGCCATGAAGGGGCACAGCGCAGCACCTAGGAAGGAAACTGAACTCAGTGTCTGGCAGCCTCTTCTGGCCATGCTCAGTCACATCACCACGGGAACTCCATGCCTCATTGACAGGTCATGCAAGCTGTACTCAGGCACCAAGAAGTGGTGCGGGAGGATGAAGGGCCATGTTGAAAGACTACTGTAGACACACTTCTGGTACTATTAACCTGGCAGCTGAGTCAGCACCCAGCTCAGGAAGTGTTCAAAGGAGCTGGGAATGCTGATGGACACCCACCTGTCTAGTGGCCTAAGCCTAGAACAGGATGTGGTACTCATCTTCCTAGTTCTGATAGCACTTGGGCATGTGAAGGCTATGCTGAGCACATAAAAGTTTCCCCATCAGTTCTTAGGTCTTTTCCATTAAGTCTCACTGCCACCCCCACACAATTGCTAAGTGCTTTTCTGCCCCAGGCATGGTATGCAACAGAAGAGGGAGATCCTCCAAAATCTGAGGTGGGGGGGGGACAGAAACAGATGTACCAAATGCAACTATGCCAAGGACACCTGTGGCTACCCCTGAACCAATCATACTAGGACAATGGTTGTCAGGACAAGCCTGCATACAGGGAGGTGAGACTCTCCACTTCGTGTTCTGCCCTAAGAACATCTGCAGGGAACCTGGGGGAGCCAGCATTATAGCTTTTAAAACTCCCCATATTTGGTGCATGCCACTGTGAGCATCCACTGTTTAAGACTCCAGAGCAAACAAATGAGCTAAGAGACAGGGACAGGCTGAGAAAGAAACATGGATTACCAGATCGAAAATCCTATTTCACCAATGGTGCGGGAGAATTGTCTGTATTCTGTCAATCATGTATTTTAATAAAATGCCGATTGGCCAGGCAGGAAGTGGAGGTGGGTCAACCAGACAGGAAGTAAAGGCGGGGCAATGAGAACAGGAATATTCTGGGAAGCAGGAAGCTACCTCTGCCATTCCTGCCCAGACCACCGAAGAGGCAACATGTGAGCTGTCACACTGAGAAAGGTACTGAGCCGTGTGGCTAACATAAATAATGATAATGGATTAATATAAGTTACAAGGACTAATAAGAAGCCTGACCTAATGGGTCAATCAGTTTATAACCTAATGTAGTCTCTGTGTTATTTTCTTTGGGAATTGCCGGCTATGGGGTACCGGGCGGGACAAAACCCCAACAAGCCGGCCCTCATGTTACACACCAAAGGATTATTTTTCTCTGTAATGAAGTATAGAACATTCTACTGTTTGGATAATAGGGTAACTGAAATGAAACTAGGTAGTCTTCAATTCCCTTTTAAAGCAAAACATTATATTCACTTATTAATGTGTAATAAAGCAAATATGATTACCTCAGCCCATGTTACTCCCATTTTATTTAGGACTAAAATCTTCAGATTAGAAAATGTTCCAGTTGGAGTTGGTGAGTCAGAGGGAAACTGTAGTTTATTTTCACTGAGAAGAAAAAGAAGATATGAAGTATTTACTCCTACATGGCAGACCCAATACTCTGATATCAACAGTCTGAGGTTTAACCTGAAGATTTGAGAGGAGTTCTCTTCAAGGCAGGCAAAGAAGCTTCAGGTTTCCCCATACATTTGAGGTTGACTTGGGCTCCCAGAAGAGGAGATATTAAGTGTTAAATTAAACCCATTTGCTCTATTTGAGGTGCCTTCAAGCTTGACTGTTTTGTTCTATTTGCACCTGCTTTAGCCTAGCAAAGCTTAACTTGCATATAAAAAGCACTTGGGAATGCAAGAGGAGAAGGGTTGAGGGTGTGTTCAGTGGTAAAGGGCTTAAGAAACACAAAAACCTAGGCTTGGTTCCCAGCACCATCGGAAGGAAGGGAAGGAAGGAGGAATACACCAGCCTAGTTGAGCCCTTGGAAAGTGAGGTTGTGAGATAAAATAATCAACTATTTGGGAAGGTATCAGAAATGTGACATTAGTAAACAAAGTAAAAAAAAATCTTTATTAAAACTATACTAAGCAATGTCCCATTAAACACAGATTCAAAAATCATGTTCAGCACTAACCCCTCTCCTCCTCTGCTGGGATCACACATACCATAGTCCCTCTTTCACAGTCAGACTTATAAGTTATGAAGATCTACTCCCTCCCACCTGATAAGGACACAGATATACTCCTTATTCATACACCTCAAGGGACCATCTGAAGACTGTGCCCTGAAGTGAACCTTCAGCAAAGTCCATTTAGGCAAAGCTTCCCATAAAGTATCTGCTAGCTGTCAGAGAAGGCAGTGTAGAGTCCATACCTGAGATCGAGATCCTCCAGGTTGGCGAGCTGCTCTGCAATAAGAATCACTTCATCCCAAGATGACAACAAGTTTTTGGACAAATTAACAACTCGAATATCTAAGGTACATTTTAAGAAAAAGTAATTTCAAAAGACTCAAAGACATAGAATTAGTAGCATTCTAATTCTGAAATGTGGATTTTGTTTTGTTTTTGAGACACGGTTTCTCTGTGCAGCCTTGGCAGTCCTGGAACTCACTCTGTAGACCACGCTGGCCTGGAACTCAGAGACCCCTGCTCTCTTGCCACCACTACCTGCCTGAAGTGGGGATTTTAAGCTTCTCACTGTCTAGTTGGAAACTTTTAATGAACACAAATGTTTCTGTTTTAAATTATCTGTTAGCCTGGATGTAGCTCAGTGGTGGAGTGCTTCTCTATATGCCCAAAGCCCTGAGTACCATTCCTAGCATTGCAAAACTAAAACAAAAAAATACTATTACCCTGGTTCATCCAAAACCTAAAATACTCATTTTCATGTGTCAAAACATGAGACAAACATCTATAACCAAAGCAGAACCAAGTGTTACAATCAAACTTCTGCAGGACCAACAAACAAACAAACAAAAAACAGTGACAGACAACAACTGAAACACTGACACCACCATCAGGTGACCAGCAAGTCTTGCCTTCAGCACTGCCTAAAGCCACAAGCATTTATGCCTGTGCACATACCCACCCTTCTCTTCAGAGCACCATCCTAGAGGAGAATACAAGGATAGCAGCAACACGGGCAAGAAAGAGGCTGAGAACTCAGTCTGCAATGTGGCTTCTTATCTGTGATTCATGACCAAAAACCTAGAACAAGGCTCTGGAACCGTCACATGCACGATGGCTTAAGGATCAACAGCCATGCTCTCAAGGGGGTCACAGTGTAACATGGTCACAGACCAGCTAATGGAAGATATGTATGTGTTACTATGGTTACCCTACAAATAGTTATCAAGGGCCAAGAAGACAAGTTTAGCAGGGAGATGGTCTTAAGCTAACACCTGCAAGTCTGAGATTGCCCGTGTCAGCGTGGCAGGTGGGACAGGTAGGAAGGTGCGTGGCCATACAGACAGTAGTGAAAACAAAGTCAATGAGCTTCCTGAGCAGAAAACTGAGGGAATCCAGGAAACAGAACCTAGAAGAATTCTGTGGCATCCTGGACACAGTTGTGATTACAGTGAGGTGCTGAGGTCAAAGTGGGAACAGCTTCCTCCAGCCACCTGAAAAGATGGATGGGTATTCTCAAATAGAGGCATCTAGGCCAGTGGTTCTCAACTATCCTAACACTGCGACTTCAACACAGTTCCTCATGTTGCAGTGACCCATAACTATAAAATTATTTTCGACCCCTAAGTTGAGAACCACCACCCTAGGCCTTAGAGACCAAGGCCACATCATAAAGCACCTCCAGGTTGCTTCAAAGCCTGCTAGTCTGCCAGAAATGGGCACTCCTAGAGAGGCTGGAGCAGAGTAACAGGATCTGACCTGGGTCTCTGGAAAGTCACTCTGCTGTAAGGTTGAGCCGAGGACGGTAGGGAAACAAAAGAGACAAGTAGTCCCCTGTCTTAGTCAGGGTTACTACTGCTGTGATAAAAACCATAACCAAAAGCAACTTGGGAAGGAAAGGGTTTATTTGTTTTACATATCCTGAACCACAGTCTACTGAGGGTAGAAAAGCGAGAACTGGGTAGAAACTGGAAGCAGGAGTTGATGCAGAGGCCATGGAGAAATGCTGCTTACTACCTTGCTTCTCATGGCTTGCTTACAGAACCCAGGACCACCAGCCCAGGGGTGGACACCACCCACAACAGACTGGGTCCTTGCCCATCAATCACTAAGAAAATATCCTATAGGTCTTCCTACAGATCAGTCTTATGGAGGCATTTTCCCAATTGAGGCTCCATCCTCTCAAATACCTCTAGCTTACATCAAGTTGACATAAACTTGGTCAGCACAACCCCACAGCAGGCTTGAGAGCAGGAGGAAATATCAGGTTGAGTAACCCAAGGTGAAAGCAGAGCCAGACAGAAGGAAGTGAGGAAAACAGGCAGAGCTGGCCGGGCACATGGTACTGATGTTTATTGGATGCAGAAATTATGGCACAAGTAGGCTGGAGAGGTCTCGCTGTGGGACATATTGTTAGAGATAGAAATTAGATAGAAGCAGGTATTAAATGAACCACTGGGAGAACAGCAGGGAAAGACGAGAGCAGTGTAGGAAGGAAGAATGTTGGGGTCTAACTGTGCCCCAATACAGTCTCCTAGAAGACACACTCTTTGCTGAGAGAAGAGACCTTCCATAAGACACAGAAAGCATTCACCCAGGGAAGAAGAAACCCACTGGGAATAACAGCTGCAGCTGACTTTTTTAGACAGGCTCTCATGTAGCTCAGGTTGGCTTTAACTCACTATGAAGCAGAGAATTACCTTAAATTCAAGATCCTCCTGCCTGTGTTTAGTGCTAGGATAACAGGCATGCACTGCCACACCCAGCTGCGGATTCACCTTTTCCAGAGAAGAAAATCCAAGGCAACTGTCACCTGTACAGAGCAGCACGAGACAATCAACCTGTCAGCCTCCACCCAAAGTCCCATTTGATACATCCCACAATACAAGCAGGAACATTAAACACAAGTCAAGCATAGCTCAGGTGAGTAATCTCAGCACTAGAAAGGAAGGCTGAGGCAGAGGGCTGAAGCAACTTTAAGGCTAGCCTGAGCTACAGTGTAAGACACTGTCTAAAAAACACAAATAACCCCACAGACATGAGAGCCTGTTTTATCATCCCAGGGCTCTGGCTGAAAATGAATTAATCTTAGGAGAAAACAGGTGAAGGACTCCACAGGAGCGTAGGGAAGAAAGGCAGGCAGGCAGTCGGTAAACCCAAACCTGCCAACTTGCCACCTGTGCCCAGATGCAGTCAGCTCTCTCAGCCTTACTGGATGGCTTTCTTCACACTTGAAAGACAACTGATGAGACCCTGGGCATCCCATATACACTGAGAAATGACCAAAGACCAACACAACAGAGGAAATGCTAACCAAGTCTGTCCCCTTGCTAGGGGTCACCTATGAATTTCAACTCTCAGAGCTAAGCATGGTGACTCATACTGTAATACCAGCACTTGGGGGAAGCTGAGGCAGGAGAACTTTCATGAGTTCAAGGCTACTCTCTGATACATACTGAGTTCAAGGCTAGCATGAACTACAGAGTTAGACCCTATCTCAAAAATATAAAAAAAAATCCTCCCCAGCACCAGAAAACTATATTAAAGTATAATAAAAATTTTCACACTCATTGGCTGTACTTGCAGGCAAAAGGGTCTGGGAATTTACTTAACTGAGCTGCATGTCCCAAAAAGGGCATGCAACCAATGGTGTCAGGCACAGGCACCAAATCCAAAATCAGGTTTCAGGAATGAAAAGGATACTGGGACAGGCTTCAGCAATTCTTCCTTGTTCACCAGCACAACTCACAGCACACTTCCACAAGGAAATGTCCTTCAGTGCTCTCAGCTGACTGCAGGAAAAAGTTTATATATATATATATGTAAGTCATAAACTATCATGTCCACTGGCCCTTTAAAATCGTACACAAAATACCAAAACTATACAAGTGCTAGTACTCATCACATAAATTGAAAAGCAAAGTGTTACAAAAAAGGAGAATGAAATGAAGCATCATAGCCATTAGAGGCAGCTGTAGTCATTGCTCCTCTCCAAAAACACCCCTGTAACACGAAGGCCGGCTTGTTGGGGTTTCTGTCCCACCCAGTACCCCAACAGCCGGCAAGCAACAAAGAGAAATTACACACAGGACTCCATAAGGTTATAAACTGATTGGCCCATTAGGTCAGGCTTCTTGTTAACTCTTATAACATATATTAACCCATTATTCTTATCTATGTTAGCCATAATGGCTCCGTACCTTTTCTCAGCTGGGCAAGTTACATGCTGCCTCTTTGGTGGTCTGCGCAGGAGTGGCTGAGAGAGAGCTTCTGCTTCCAGAATACTCCCAGTCTCTTTGCTCCACCCCTACTTCCTGTCTGGCTTTCCCGCCTATACTGCCTGCCTGGCCAATCAGCGTTTTATTAAAATATGATTGACAGAATACAGATAATTCTCCCGCACACCCCACTCTCCCTGATTTCTCAGCAACCTCTCCAGCCACAGTTGCTATGGACTTACTCTTGACTGTAAAACTGTGTCTCCAATTACTGTTTTATTGTATACAGAATCTCCTGTGACTTCTTCCCTCTGAAGGATATTGTGAAGCAGTGGGATTCAGCTCCATGGACACTCAACGGTCTGGAACACTTGTCTTTATATTTGTTGGTGTTTTACTAGACCCAAATGAAGTTACTAATTCTGCTGACAGTTGGCAGTTCCCCAAAATGCTGAAGTGACACTATTGAGAGCCTCCTGCCCAGTGAGACAGAGCCTCTCTAGAACGTGTCTGAGGCATTGTGCCTGAGAGCTCTCAGTGTGATTCTACATATGCAGGACTTGTGTCCTTTGTCTATCAGAAAAGCTAATGTCCCGGAACTCAGAATCCAGAGCTGGGCTACCAGGCTTCAAGGCCCAGTCCCACCACCTTCCTTGGCACTAGGCAGGAAATTAAATCTTGGTGCCTCAGACATCACACTGGTAAAATGCTGTTAAATGTACTTTAATTGTAGAGCTTTATTCACACAATACCCAAAAGGCAGAAACAGCCCAAGTGTCCAGAACAGATGAACCAAATGTGACGTCACATTTGAGAAGCAGTGTTTGGCCTTAAGAGGGAAGAAATTATGACATCCATAAATGGAGAGACCTTGAAGAAATTACTCTAATCAAAAAGATCAGACAATGGGACAAATACTGCACAAGGATCCCACCTGGTGATCCCAGAACAAAGTGACAGGTAGAAAGAACAATGGCTGGGAGGAGGAGGAGATAGGGAATTAGTGTTTATAGGGGATGGAATTCTAGTTTGGAACGATGGGAATGCTGCAGGGGCTGGTTTACATGATGTTTAGCGTTTACACTGCTAAGTCAATTTATTAGGTATATTCTGTTAGAATTTTTAAAACACAACAAATGACTTAGTGAGTTAGTATTTCTAGAAGATCTCAAAATAATGCTTACCACCAAATGGTTCATTTTCATTTATGTTTGTAAAAATTAACCAAAAACTGACAATGTTGAGGGGTAAACACAAGCATGGCAAAGGTGATTCTAATCATCAGAAATAGGTTCTAGGGCAGAAGGCTCTCCCACTTGCTCAGCAGGCCCTGAGAGTTTCAGCAATGTTTCATGGTGCCTACATCAAAACAAGTATTTCCCAGTTCCAATTTTGTGCGTGGTTAGGACCAAACAGCTTCATGATGACTTAGGTGCTACCAGTTTAGTGCCCCTGAGTGCATGACTTCCAGACTCGGAAATCAACCCTTCTGAACACCAGCATGCCCATATTCTGTCCACCACAATATTCAGGAAGTACTTGCTTTGTATTTATTCTAGATAGGGTTTCATGTGGCCTAAATTGGCCTTGAATGCCTGATTCTCTGTCTCCACCTTCCAAGTGCTGGGATTATAAACATGTGCCACCATGCCTAGAAATTCCTTGTTTTTATTTTGTTTGTTTGTTTTTAAGCACAGCAACTGTTCATTTCAGTTTCTCAGAAATGTGAACTCACTGAAAGGAACTGTTAATGTCATTCATACAGCTGTCAATAACTGCAGACCAGTAGCTTGTACGCTGAAAGTCACTGTTTCTGGGCCAGTGTGTGGTGGCACTTTAATCCCAGTACTTGGTAGGGGAGGCAGGAAGGTGAAGAGCTCAAAGTCAGACTATCTAGATAGATGACTCAGTGGATAAAAGTACTTGGACCTGAGTTCAATCCCTGATACCAATGCCTACAGAAAGCAATAGGTGATGGCTCACATCTGTAATCCTAGTCTTCTACAATGAGGTAGAAAACTCCAAAAAGTTGTCCTGGTCATACTCTCATACTGTGACATGTGCATGCCTGCTCTCAAACACACATCATACACACATAGAGATAAAAACTTGAAATTTAAAAAAGTTTAAGCTGAGGGATGGTGACTCAAACCTTTAATCCCAGCACTTTGAAAGCTGAGGCAGGTGGATCTCTGAGTTCAAGGCCAGCCTGGTCTCAGAGTGGGTTCCAGGACAGTCAGTGCTATACAGAGAAATCCTGTTTCAAAAAAACCAAACCAAACCAAACAAACCACAACAAAAATAGCTTTCAAAGCTAGCCATGAGACCCTTTTCTCAATAATAATTTTAAAAAGATTTAATCAAGATGCTATTTCCCTCTCACAGTTGAAAGTGTGCCATGCTGGAATGTTTGGCACCAAGTTGAGGAACCAGGTCTCTATAGAAGCATCAACCTAAAGCCATCTGCAGAAGAGCCAGGGTACATGGGCTCATAATTGTTTCTCATTTTTATTGTTCCTGTCTCTCCACCCACCCCCAGACTCCCGTTTTAAAAACATTTCTCTTATTGATTCCAATCCCACTCATTTCCCAGTCCCCCAGTCCCTCCGTATCCACCCCTCACCCCTGGACATCCCTCCCAGGAGCACACCCCTGCCAGATTAATTAAAAAAAAACAAAAACACCTCACTCCTCTGTCTTTCCAAAACCTCTTCATTAATCCTAGTGGCATCGGGAGCTGTAATGTGTCGCCCCACCCAAAAAGCGTCCATTGCAGTGAGTCATTGGTCTGGTTCAAGGCCCGCGGCACCCCGTCATCACCACCCTCACCGGCGCTCCTCTCAGATACCCTGCTGTTGCCCCATGGAGAGCCTGTGGTTATCGCTCCACAGCACTAGTTCCTTTATGCACTCCAGCAGGTCACAAATGGGGACAACCCAGGGCACAGAATGTGGGTCTGCGTGGTAGCTGAGCTGGTCATCTGGGTAACTGGGACTGCCCACCTCAGGCGAGGGGAAGAGTCAGCTTTCCCATGCCTAAAATAAACCACTCAGGATCAGACTCCCGAAGTTTGGACCAACACAGGCTACTTAGTGGTGCTGAACCAAACTGCCTCCTGAGGACCATCATCATACTCTGCTGGCTGTGGAGGTCACAGAGACGACCTACCACCCCCAAACAGAGGTCAGAACAACTTTGTAAAGTCAGTTCTCTACTTCCACCCTCCTGTGGGTTCTGGAGCTCAAACTCAGGTCCCTAGGCTTACATGGCATACACCTTTACCCACTGAACCATCTTGCCAGCTCCTCTACTTTTCTTAAAGATACATTTATTTTATGTCTATGAATGTTTTATCTGCAAGTATGTGTATGTACCACCTGCATGCCTGGTACCTGTGGGGGTCAGAAGAGGGCATCAAATCGCCTGGAACCGGAATTGTATAGGTAGTTGTGAGTTGCTTTGCTATAGGAGTGCTGGCAACTGAACCTGGGTCCACTGCAAGAGCAGCAGGTGTTTGTAACCCTGAGTCATCACTTCAGTGCACACTGCACAGCTCCCCTTGCAATGTAACAGGATTTCATGTAGCCCAGGCTGGCTTTAAACTGACTGTATACCCAAGGATGATCACTGAACTCCTGATCCTCCCACCTCCGCCTTCCAAATGCTGCGGTTACCAGTGAGAATGAATCACCATACTCAGCTAAACCGAGGGTTTTAATTTCCCTGAATAATCAGTGCTTGTGTTCTCCACATCTCAAGACACTGTGAAAAGATGAACCAATGTGGAAGCAAAGTTCCAAGCATCACCACACAATCAAGAACTTTAATCCCAATTTGTTGACTGAAAGTCAAGCTACCACATCAGCTCTTACCTCTGCTTCTTTGTGATACTGTCAAAACCAACAGTTTGCACTTGTTTACTTCCAACTTTTAAGGAACTTGATTTTCCATCATCATCAGATCCATCTTCTAATACATAACGCTTCTTAAGAGCAGTAAGAAAGTCTACTCCAAAATTAACTTTGTTTGGACGAACAAAGGAGCCCCCTGTTGGGTGCCTGAGAAGGGAAAGAAATTACTATATAAATATCATGAGCATGGTGACAGAGGTTTGTCAATCCCAGATATTTGGGAGGCTGAGGCAGGTTCCAGACCAGACAAGGATATATAGTGAGACCCTGTCTTTTTTCTTTTCTTAAAGGAAATACTTACACTGTTGGATATCACTTTGTTATTTAATCAAGAAATATTAATATGGCCAGGCAGTGGTGGCACATGCCTTTAATTCTAGAACTTGAAAGGCAGAGACAGGCAGAGCTCATTGAGTTCAAGGTCAGCCTGGTCTACAGAGTAAGTTCCAGGACAGCCAAGACTACACAGAGAAGCCCTGTCTTTAAAAAAAAAAAAAAGTGGACTGAAGAGATGGCTTAGAGCACTGGAAGCTCTTCCAGAGGTCCTGAGTTCAGTTCCCAGGAACCACATGGTGGCTCACAACATCTTTAATGAGATCTGATGCCCTCTTCTGGCATGCAGGAATACATGTAGGCAGAACACTACATATATAATAAATAAATAAAACTTAAAAAAAAAAAGAGAGAGAAACCAAAAAGTAATGTGTATTTTAAAACTATTTTTATTAGATGTATGTTACTGGGGATTGAACGCAAGACCCTACACATATACATTCTACCTATGACAAACAACTACAGGGTCTCACTAAGGGCCTTAAACTTTAAAACAAAACTTAGTTACTCATCTGCATGTCTATGTGAGCACATGAGTGCCATTGCACATATGTGAAGGTCAGAAGATAGTTATCGTCTTTTATGTGTGTCCTAAGGGATCAAATTCAGGTCATCTGGCTTAGCAGCAAGTGCCTTTACCAGCTGAGTTATCTCCTGGGCCCAGACTCTGAATTTTCTATACTCCTGCTTTAGCCTCCAGAACAGATTAAGATAATGTCGTGGCATTATGCCCAGCAATTACTGTATTTAATTCACATATTTGCATTGTTAATACATTTTGTTTTCTATGTTTTTGAGACAGTCTCCCTCTGTAACTCAGGCTGGCCTGAAACTATGTATCTCACTCTAACAGTAAACGTGTAAAGATTCCCCTAACTCGGCCTCTCCGTGCTGGGATTACAGGAGTGAGCCACTAGATTTAGCTCTTTACTACTTTTAACTAATATTTTTATTTTTTATGTATACAAGTTATTTTTGCCTGCAAGTATGTATGTGCACCACATGTGTGCAGTCACTGAAGAAGAGGCACCAGAGTCCCCAGAACTGGAGTTACAGGTGGTTGTGAGCCACCATTTGGGTGCTGGAAACTGAACCCTAGAGTCTTCTACAAGAATAGCAAGTGTTATTAACTACTGAGGCATCCCTCCAGTCCCCTGTTTACTACTTTTTAAAGTGTATTTTGTGTGTCCCAGAAAGATCCAGAATAAGGGAGATGGGAATTAAAAACCTGACTTAGCATACACTGTATAAAACTGTAGAATCTAAGGTGGACCTTCAAGGACAAATAACATTTGGTTTAAAAAAAAGCTTAAAAAAATCTTTTTTTTCATAAATAAATGTTGAAAAGTTTTGTTTGTTTGTTTTTTAATGCTGAAGGCAGAAGGAGAGGAAGAGAGGTAGCTCAAATGCTAATTGATTTTAATAATAAAAACTTAGAGTCAGCTATCGGGGTGAAAGCTGAAGGATTAGATAAGCAGAACAGCAGTCGCTAGAATTCTTACCTCTGCCAATGCTCAGACCAAAAGGGCGATCCTGTCTCCTTCCGCCTTATAGTCCTCTCTTTGCCCAGCCATATCACTTCCTGTCTTTACCTCCCTGGTGCTGGGATTAAAGGTGTGAACCATCATCGCCTAGTTCTGTTTCTCTTTTAGACTGGATCAATCTCAAGTAGCCCAGGGTGGCCTTGAGCTCACAGAGATCTGTTTGCCTCTTTCTCAGGAGTCCTGGATTAAAGATGTGTGAAACCACTGCCTGGCCTCTAGTGGCTTACCTCTGCACTCTGATTTTCAGTCAAGCTTTATTTGTTAAAACACAAGCAAAATATCACCACAGGAAGAGAGAGAAGAAAAGACAGATTTTGCTGGACTGGCCAAATGGCTCAGTGCGCCAGTAAAGAGCTTCTTGTGCCAGCCTGTAACCTCAGTTCAATCCCAGGTCCCATGTAAAGCTGGAAGAAAGACTGACTCCTTAAAGCCATCCTCCAATTTCAACACATGCACAGAGGTACAGAGGTCACACATATCTGTACACATAATAATTTTTAAAATTAAAAAATTCTTAAATTAAAATGCTAATGTTTACATGTAAAGTATTAGAATTAGAAATATGAAATTTCATTTTTCAAACATAGCAATCTAAATTAAAAAAAAAAGACAAAACAAAACTGCAGGCTAGAGAGAAGTCTCAGCAATTAAGAGCATTGGCTGTTCTTCTAGAGGACCAGAGTTCAGTTCCCAGCAATCACCAATCACGTGGTGCTCACACCTGTCTATAACTCCAGTTCCAGGGGATTCAACACCTTCAAGCAGATACACATGCAGGCAAAACACCAAGGCACATAAAATATTACCAAATAATTGCCAGCCAGTGGTGGTGTATGCCTTTAATCCCAGCACTCAGGAAGCAGAGGCAGGTGGATCTCTGTGAGTTTGAGGCCAGCCTGGTCTAGAGTGAGTTCTAAGACAACCAAAGCTACACAGAGAAACCCTGTCTCAAAAAACCAAAAAATAAATGAATAAATAAATAGTAATAATAACTAAAATAATTTTTAAAATAAAATAAAAACTTAAAACTAAGCTAGAATGTTAAGCAACAGAACATTTTGCCAGGTGTGGTGGCACATGCATCCTATCTGAGCACTCAGGAAGCAGAGACAGGTATGTCTCTTTGAGTTCAAGTTAAAGACTATCCTAATCTACATAACAAGTTCCAGGTTAGCCAAGGCTATATAGAGAGACCTTTTCTGAAAAAAAAAAAAAAGAGATAGAGAAAGAAAAAAAAAAGAAAGAAAGGCATTTAAGGTAATGACAGAGGAGAAAAAACTGAAAATCACAAATAGGGTATTGGGAAGACACTCAGTGGATGTGCTCGCTGAGTAACATGAGGTCATGAGTTCAGGCACCCAGAATGCACATAAAGACTGGTCACTGGTGACACATACCTGTAATTCCAATACAGAAACATGAAGATCCATGGGGTTTACAAACTTGCTAGTCCAGCCAGTTAGTGAACGCTAACTTTAGCAACCCTGCCTCAAAATACAGGTGGAAAGCAATAGAGGGAGACACCAGATGTGGACCTCTAGTCTCTGTGTGCGTACACACGTATGAACATTTAGGATAAAAATATATTTGGGATTTTTTTTTTCTGAGACTGTTCTACTCCTTAGCCCCGACTGCCTTGAACTCATCATCATCTTGCCTCTGCCTCTGTACTTTCTAGATTACATGCACTTAGCCTAAATTCACACTTCTTACAGCAATGGTAATGAGCTAGTCAAAAGGAGATGTTTATTAGTTTTGGTTGCAGGCAGATGAGTAGTGTGGAATTGTGTCAGGAGGCTAAGAAGTGGAGCCTATACCTGTTATAGGCTCAATCCTTGGTGAAACATTCCCAGCAGTTTTATCAAGAAACCAAACAGCCCAGAGATAAGAAATGCTAGCCAAATGAATGCCCATCAATAAAAAATCTTCAGAAGATACACTGATTTTAACAGTGATTTAGACAGAAATCACTGTAATATTGTAAATTTGTCAAGATGCTTCATGAAACACAAATTTTGAACCCATGAGGAAAATGGTGCAGGATAAGTACCCTCATCCCATTGGCCCCTGGTGCTCAGAACCTCAGAAAACTTCACGACTTGGGACATCTAAAAAAACTAAAGAAAAGTATTTAAAGTGGTCTTTCCTCTGAGCACTCAGGAGGCAGAGGCAGATAGATATATCTCTCTGAGTTCAAGGCCCACCTGCACTATAAAGTGTGTTCCAGTCCAAAAAAGAAAGAAACCAAGAGCTAGCTAAGGCATGATGATGTACACCTATCATCCCAGAACTTGAGGGGTAGATGCAGGAGGATCTCAAGTTTAGAACCAGCCTTAGCTATGCAGCAGGTTAGAGGCCAGCCTATACAACATGACAAAAACAAAAATGAGGGCTGGGGTACAAGATGGCTCATGGGAAGAGAACTGCTGTGCAAACATTAGCACTAGCATCCCCAGCACCATGCAGAGCACATAAGCCTATAGTCCCAACACTATAACAGGGGTATGTGGCAGAACTAAGAGGTTCATGTGTCTGTCTGCCAGCCAATCTAGCCAAAATAGTGAGCTCTAGGTTCAGTGAGAGGCACTGTCTCAAGAAAATTTGGCAGGAAGCAAGACAACACTCCTCCTCTGGTGCGGGAGAATTATCTGTATTCTGTCAATCATATTTTAAT